AGTAAAACAAAAATAATTGGTTTTGCAGCTTCTGACAAGTTTCCGGCAAACGGAGAAACTAGAAGGAAAACGGTTAAAGGTAAAAGGTTCACGTGGTATGGGTGGCCTCGTGAAAGTGAAAAACATCGTAATAAATTAATAATAATAAATAAAAATTGATAATACATCCATCATTTTTACTACATGCATTTTTCTTCACTAATAAATGAGAGGTCTCATGTTCAGTTATCGTCAAAGACGAATTTGAACCACAATATTGCTAGCCCATTGTAAGACTAAACCTAAACTCATCCATTTCTCTTAATGTACATAATATCGTTTATTAAAAAAAAAACGTGTTTATTAAATTGGAATAAGAGGGAAGAAGAACCAGGATAAACATGATTATGTTTACGCCTAATCCAATACGACTAGACCTACCCCTTCTGAATTTTGATTCTGTCAAATTTCAGGCCTGCACTACTTTTCGTTTTGCTGAAGTTGCTAAATGAAGGAATAATTAGGAATGGGAATTACTCTCATTCCACTCATTCCCTTTCCACATATGTAAACACGCACTAATGATCATCTTTAGAAATCTCAATTATTTTGGAGACTGTTTTGCCACTAAATATATCAAACAAATCGACGATTTTAGTTATAAGTAGTATTCTCATAATGAACCATGAATAAGTTCATATGAAACAATATTTGAATCGAATGTATTTTAAAATGATCTTTAGAGATAATAAAGACAATAAACTATTTAGATTATAACGTATGTATGGTCTAATTCACAATGTCACGTTACTCATGAAAATGAGAGAAGTATTCTCCATAGAAAAGTTAGGAAATAAAAACAAAAAAGAGAATACTAGAGGGACACGTGGCAGGCCAAAGCTGTTTCTTGTACGTACCAACAAAGTTAAAGGATAATTAAGCATGGGCTTCCACACTCGAAGTTACTGATTTCTTCTCTTTTGTTTTAGGACCACGCAACTGCTTGTGGCATTTTTGTGTGGCTGCGGTTCACAAAATGTGAAAATCCACAAGTGCTTTTGAATTTTGGGTGCTTTTCTGCAAAAGCACTTATAATCTTTGGAGTGAACATTTGATTACGTGATGTAGATAGAGAGGTCTTTGGAGAAAAACAATTCGGGGATGTTTTGACTGTTTTGCACGTTCATAACTCTCTCCCTTTGAATAATGCATTTGCTTTCATTTTTCTTAATTAAATTGATGAATGGTCATTATTGTGCATATGTCACATTGCCAAAGACAATTCAGTTTGTCCAATTTGAATGAAATAATTGATGTATACATGTTTTTTTGTGCAGAAAAACAAAAATAAAAATCTTAAACGGGATACCTCGAATACAATAACCGATGTAAGGGGATGACCAGTCCCGAATATGCTTTTTTGGTTGACTGGTATCTGATATTGGGCATTATGAGACCCCATTTAAGAAGTGGTACGCAAGGAAATCTCACTACAATTGACATTTAGCCCTAAGCTGAGTCAGGGGCACTTCTAATTTATTTGTTTGCTCATAGATTGCATGATTATTTGCTATTCCAAAATATCTTTCGAGATTTAGCAATACGTGAATTTGAATTTCGTTGTGATTGCTTAATTTAGAATTTATTATCAAGCCAACTACTTAGCGTTATCGACTTTGAATTTTCTCATCAGTAGTATCTTTTTCAATGCGATACTCTAACATATTCAAATTTAGAAGAAGGAATCTAAATTCGGGAGCAAGATGAAAGATACGTGTCACTGTCATGCCTTGTAATTTCATACGGTACCTCATGTAAGTTGTAACACTTTAAACATCGGTCACATGGCTAATTAGTGCTAGACATATGTTGTATAAAAAGACCAAGAAAAATTTTCTTGAAATAATTAGGAAGGACACGTTAGAGAAAAAGTGGAACCATAAATATATTTTGATGAAGAGATAGGGTTTAGGATTATTCAAGTTTAGGATTATTCAATGTGACCAGAAATTCATTACTTAGACAAACGGGGTCCAGAGATAGGAGAAGATAAAACTAACAATAAGAGAGAAATTTTTATAATGCAGATATATAATTATTGCGACGATGTATACATGTCAATAGAATTCTTAACTAACAAGTACGATTAACATATTATACACATTGATATGAAACAACAGATTCAACGATACCATTACAACACAATGTTTCGATCAAATAATACATTGTTATAAACAAATCCTTGCCATACAACAGTATGTTGTTAAAGTTGAACGTTATGATAACAATGAACCGGTCGTGCATTGCACAGTTGCACAGGGAGTCTTGAAGTGCAAGGAGGAGGAGTAAATTCCACACGCGTGCATTTATATTACTGTTAATTTCTGCGGCACTAGTTATTAGTACTTTGAATCCGATTCCTGAAGGAATCCTGAGCCTGAGATTGCGATTAATGATTGTTATTGCATTGCAGCGCAAAATACGTCCACCAATCAGCCATCAACAAAATTAAAGATAATTAAATAATTATATTTACTATTTATTCTTCTTCTGCAAAAGTAAATATGTTTATACTTTGCAGGTTTCCAGAATCCATATGAAGAAACTACACATTAAAAAGGCGCGTGCTTCCTCTGCAAGAGACACAGATGGGACAACTGAACCACAAAGGCACCCTTTTATTTTTATAAATTTTATAAATTTTATTTTTTAATTTTGATTTTATTTATTTTTTTACTTGGCCACTAAGGACAAAGGTTTCAAGAATTCCTGACCGATAACTGACTACTTTTTGTTTCGAAAATATCTGTGGTCCTTTGTACTATAAAATTAAGGAAATTTTAACGAAAAATTTTTAGTACTGTCAATTTTAATGAAAAATTACATTTTTACATTAAAAAGTTAATTCTGGTATTATTCATTTTACCTTTTATTTTGTCATTTTTTATTAAAACTCAAAGTTTTCAACCAATTTTCATTAATTTTCCTTAAATTTAAGTCTCTAAACCTGATAAATAAAGTAACCCAATTTCATCACCCTTCTTCAACAACTACAAAAACTTTGCATCTTATAACATGAAACAACATTAGCATCACTACTGGAACGTTCTGATTTAATAATACAAGTAATGTATATGTTTTTTCGGTATTTTATTACATTATTAAATCGAAACATCACGTAACAGCTAACCCGTTTTATATAAATTGCACTCTAAAAACTAAAACGAATCTAAAATATAAACACAAGGTTAAAATCTTTCCCCTTTCTTTCGTACTATTCATTCAACTAACCAACTCTTATGATTTTGATCCAAGAGATTTATTTTTGCGTACAAGAAATGTATATATAACGTTTCTTACGGTAATTGTTCCTGTGAGTCGCTATCGTCACTTAGAACAAATATTGTAAATTTGTAAGTAGATGGCATGCCCACCCTTTTGTATGCAACAACCTTTCCTGGTAGTTAACCTAAGTATGCCTAACTAGGCAATGTCCGTGCCCGCAACAAAATTGAAAATCGGTTAAGTGGGGACATTTGCATATGATTAATACTCACATTAAATAAAATTCCCTTTATTTGGAAAATAAAGAAGAAGATAAAGATAAAATTTTCTTTAGACCATCTTCAACCCTTGGAGATAAAAGCTTAAAAATTTAAGCTATAAATTTTAATTGTTTTTCTCCTCCAACCTTTATGATTTAAAATTTTAGCCCGTAATGATAAAATAATGATTTTAACCTAACTTTTTGTTTTCAGTAACTTTTTTTAAAGTAAAATTTATGTAGGTTATGTTAATTTATTTTTATGAACATTTTAGTCTAAAAATATTTAAATTCCAATAAGTAATTAAAAATCATACAAATACATAGGTATTTATAAAGTTTTAAGTTAAATTTGATTTGAATAATTTTCTTAAATTATTTTAGATAGTAGATTTAATTTTAGGCCGTCAAATAAATTTTTTTACTATTAGATTTGATCTCATTTTATCATCGCCTTTAGATTATAAGTAAAAAACAAAAAAAAGTTTAAAATTGGCCACGCCCCATTTTTAGTCAACACTAATAAATACTAATATTGGCTTAAATCCAAGGGAGAATCTAGCCCAGATATATTTTCTCCCCATGACTTATTTTAGCCCATCGTTAGAGATGTTTTTTTTTTGGGTATATTTTAAGTTTTATCTCATGGATTGAAGATGGTCTTAGTGGGTGAAATGACGTATTTTCCATTAGGCCGGTGGAAAAGTAACCAAATTCAGATTGGGCTGTCCCACTATAAGCCGAACTTGGGCCAAGTCTGGGTCTTACCAAGAGTCAACTAATGACTCATTTGGGAGTGTTTATGTAGAAATGATTTTACCAAATTAGGAGCAAAAGTGCTTTTATTAGAAATATGGTAAAAAAAGAAAATTTGAAAATCAAAGTGTTTCCTAAAAATTATTTGAAAGCACCAGCTATGTGCTTCTCGAGAAAGTCTCTCTATGACTTATAAGCACTTTTTAAGTTTTTCTCCCAATACAGCCCGAAATGTTCTCTCAAACACTTTTTGACATTCCATAAGCAATCTCAAACAAGTCATTGATTATCATTTAAGGCGTTTTTATCTTTTATTAGAAATATGTTAAAAAGAATTTATTAAACGTTCAAGTGTTTCTTGAAAATCACTTCAAAATGCTTCCTAAAGAATCACCAGCTATGTGCTTCTCTAGAAAGTTTAGAAAGTTCTGCTATGACATATGCAATTCCTAGTTTTTTCTGTCAAATGCAGTCTAAAACGCTTTTTGCCCTTTCCAGAAGCCAGTCTCAAACAAGCCCTCAATTATCATGTAAAGCGTTTTTAAAATTTGCTAAACACTCCATATTCCGTAAGCGATTTTCGTTTGCGCATAAATCACTCCCGAACGGGCCCTACATTGAACATGGATAATGTGATCGCAATCCTAACCCACCTATCGCAATTCGTCACCACAAAGTTGAACAATAGAGAGAGATACATTAAACAGCAATGCACACAAGATAATCTGAAATGGCGTTAGCTTTTCATACATATTTACTCAGGATTCTTGAGAAATTCACATGATGGGAAGTTGGAGGCTACTAAAAGGTCAAACAAGTCGCAGCTCTTCCTACATAGACATCAAACTTTGGACAACAAGGATTCTTCTCTCTATCCGATTTTCGGGTTTGCATTAGTAAATCATGTTAAGGCAGAGACATACCCAAGCTAAGAATCTGGAATATGTACTACACTGGTAGTTGCTTGGTCTTCCCTCTTTGATGATTTCTTTCTGTTCCTCTCAGATTGTGGTTCTTTGGCTTTCAGATCGTTGCAGAAGGACCTCAACAAGGCGGCCAGATGTTCGTTTCTGTGTGCTGAAACCGTGTTTTCCATGAAGAATCAGTACATCCAGAGTCCAAAGAAAAAAGTTCAAACAAAAAAATATAGAAGACAGAACAGAATAACTAGGTTCATAAGAATTTGGGACACATTGTTATATCATTCGATCTCGGTGGGGGTGACATCAATGAGAAATCTAAGGCTTGAAGAATGAAGACTCACCAGAAAGTATGACGTCTTCCATGTTTGCAGTTTTACGACCACCGTGTTGAGAAAATAACTCGAGGTCCTTTGCCAACTGTTCTGCTTTGCAAAATTGCAAATCTTCCATTAGTAACCCATGATTGAAATTTAACATACAGGACACTGCAGCAATCTAAACTATCTTTCAGAAGAACTGTTAAGCTCAGGAAATTTAAGCATGGCATAAAAATTCTTAGGGTGAAAGAAATGTATGATGCATCAAAAGCAATGTCACAATTTTCAAACCATCACATAATATCTCTCACAATCTCTCCCACCAACAAATCTGATCGGAATTTTTTCGATACATCAAACGCAATGTCACAATTTTAAAATCATCACATTATCTTTCACCATCCTTCCTACCAACAAATCTAATCGGATTTCTTTGGTCCATTCAAACGAAATGCATTCCTTAAAGAAATTTCTCCTCCCATTAATCCTGTGAGAACTTTCTTCAAATCCCACTTCCAAATCAGACCTATCATTAATCAATCGAACTCCAAAAACCCAATTCAGAAACTAATATTCCTACCAAAAGAGGCAGTCCATTTTGGAGTTTCAATCACCTCCTACTAACGAATCTAACTGGAATTGCTTCGGTCCACGCAAACGACATTCATTTGCATCAAAATTCATTTCTGCACCCAGTAACCCAGGTCCTAATCAGACATTCCATTTTCCAATCAAAATTCAAAAACCCAATTCCGAAACTAAAATTTCTACTAAGCATTTCTGATTCGATTTTCAATCACACAAGCACAAGAATCTCACCACTCTGTTCCAGCCAGTTCTATCATCAATTAAACGAAACTGTAAGGTCATCGCAATTTTCCCAAAATTCTTAATTGCATAGCAGAAAGCAAAGTGATCAAAGCTAAGGACAAAATACCTGTATACTTGAAAGCCAAATCGGCAATGCAAGCCATCACGGGGCCCGAAATCTCCATGGCGTTTCGCTTCGCTGCAGCGAATGGGGAATTTGGAGAACTGAGAGCCGGAAACGAAATCAGGGCCGTCCAAATTAATGAAATATTATGGAAATTTGGAGAGTGCGTGCGTGCGTTTACCTTCGGCTTCGGCTATGTGGATGGTCGAGAGTCTGAATCGATCTATGAGAAGCTCGCTCTCTGAGTCGTCTTCCTCCCTCTCCATTTTTTACTTTTCTTGCTCTCTGGGAAATTCTAGGGTTCTGTTACTTTGTACCAATTGCGCGCGAAAACGAATCAAACGCAGCGTTTCTTAAATTGAAATGGGTTAAGAAATTTTGCAGCACATATTTATTTATTTATTTTTCGAACAAAAGATATCATCTATACTAACACGTTAGTAATATTGTGGTTCAAATTCGTTTTTGATGTTACTAGTGAAAAGAAAACTACTAGACCATAGTACTAAGCGACATTTTCCCGCCTTTAGATTCAATATAAATTTCAACAATGTATGCAAATTAAACTGATAATTTTAGGACAGCTGCTAATATTTTCATAATTAAGTTTATCCTTGTATTATGCCCATGTAATGATGGTAAAAAAAAAAAGTGATATCATTTTTGCATCTTCCTTTTGTCTCCAAACCCAGATTTTTGCATATCACAAAATTAATGATATACCAAATAATTAATCACCAAAATCTTTGATTTACTTAACACTCGGAAATCATTTTCCTTACTCAAAAAGCAAATGAGGTACACATATAGTGACCGTAACAATGATACTGCACCACGTGCCGTAACATTAGTGGAATGAGGATCCTGGATTCTCAAATCGTGTCTGTTTATTGTACATCATGAGGTTAGTTTTCGTCAGATATTATTAATATTTAATTTTAAATAAAAGTATTTAAAATAATTTTTGGCACACGATGTACAATGAACGGACACGATTTGAGGATCCGGAGAGGATCCTCATTCACATTAGTGGACCACAAACTTCTACCCTCATTGTGTTTAATGTATAATTTTGATAAATATACGTGTTACAAAATGATTGGATTGGTAATCCGAAGCAGCAGAGTTACGGTTACATTGAATAATTTCTCCGTTAAGAGTGCCTATACACGTGATGCACCTATGACCTGTGTAAGGGGATGTTGCACACAATTAATTCGCCATTAGCCAGAAGATTAGGCTGTAAATTTTACTTAATTTGTAGGATTTAGTTCCAATATATGGCTGTAAATACTTATAGGAAGAGAAGCCATTGTCCAAAAAGCAGAGTCCTCATCTTTTGTAACCAAAACTTTGTGTGATAAGAAGACCCTTTCGTCTCTTGATGGAATTGGAGTCTATGAAACATGAAGCTGCCAGTCCTAGACCTGACCAACCTGACAAACAGCGAACGCCGGACGGGACTGGCAGCTTGGTCAGTGAAGACAAAACCAAAATCACGAGGCACCCTCGATGGACCCGACAAGAGACCTTTGTCCTCATAGAAGGCAAGAGGATCGTGGAGAATGTGGTCCAGAGGGGCCGGCGATCCACTTCAGCGTTGGGGACAGAAAATTTCGAACCCAAGTGGGATTTGGTCTCGTCTTACTGCAGGCAGCGCGGCGTGAGCAGATGGCCTGTTCAGTGCAGGAAAAGATGGAGCAATCTGCTTGTGGATTTTAAGAAAATCAGGAACTGGGAGGCACAGATAAATCAAGAGGCCGAGTCGTTTTGGGTGATGAGGAATGATGTGAGGAGGGAGAGGAGGCTGCCTGGTTTCTTTGATCGGGAGGTTTACAATGTGTTGGTTGGAAAGGAAGTGACTGCAATGGAAGCCTGTCCCCTGGCATTGTTTATGCCGGGGCAAACAGATGTGAAGGATGGTGATGGGACAGAGGACGCGGCTGCAGAGGAAGAGGATGAGGAGGAGGGACCTGAGAAAGATTTAAATGGCAGTCGAGATGATATGGCAGAAGATAGATTAAGTTCAGATTTTGAGGAGTCTGGGCAAGACGAGACAGCCAAGAAATCAAAGAACGAAAACCTTATGCAAGACAGCCCAACAAAAACAGTCACAACTCCAATGCCTAATTCAGGTGATTTATTTTCTTTGCACTGAAATCGTTTTCCATTACAATCGTCAATTGTGATCATATAAGCTTTCGGGTTTATGATTCTTCATCTAAATGCAAAGATCTATTTGAACAGCTATTCAAACATAATACATTGGAATTGAAGCAAACTTACAACTTGTATTTTGTTTATTTGTTGTGTTCTATCTTCCAGGTGTGATAAAGGAGAAACGAAGTCTCGGATCAAAGACTTCCGGAGAAAATGTTTATCAGGAGAAATGGAAGCAGAGGCGGGTGTCAACAGATGAAAGCGAACACCGCAACATTGCCCAGCTGATCAAAGTTCTGGAAAGGAACAGCAACATGCTGAATGCGCAACTTGAAGCTCATAACATAAATTGCCATTTTGAGAGGGAACAAAGGAAGGAGCAAAACAATAGCATACTCGGTGCTCTCGGCAAGGTCACAGATGTTCTAGCAAGAATCGCTGACAAATTATGATCAACCTTTGTGGTAAAGCGTAAAACTTAGGAAGCTGCATACACATCTTTATCCTAGGCTCATTTTTACTTTCTTCTTGTACCAGTTATTGACATAAAGCTATCGAATTTATATCTTCTAATCTTAAGTAGTTAATCAGAGACGACATCAGACTCCATAAGAGATACAAAGATCATTGTTAGCTTCGTAAACTTGATTGTTTCATCTGCTTACTGTTATAATTAGCAAATTTTTGCCATCTAGCTATGCAAATCGAAACCAGGATACTAAAATTTCAGAACAGTTTCTTGGGATCGATGGCAATGAATTTAAATTTCATATGAAGAACACAAAATTGTCATCATGCATATAAGATTGAAACATGAACATCTAGTATAAAGAGTACAAAACCATACATACATGAAGAGGATGAGATTCATGAGAACGTACATGTAAACAAGCTTTACAACCAGTTAGAGCAAAAGGCAGAACTCAAATATGGCCTTTTCTTCCTCACTTAGCAGGAACAGCCTCGACCAGCCTCGAAAAATAAAATTGTGTAGTGGTTAGTCCTCTCTTCCTTATCCTCCATCCAACCTTCTTCAAAGCCCTCTCCACATCTGCCTCTGCGTGTAGATATGCTCTTGTTGCCTTCGAAGGCCCCGGGAACAACTCTCCTATCCTCTTTAGCACATCATAATACAATGTCTTTGGTGCAAAACTTATAAGCAACCGATTCTCCGCCAATGAGGCAAGATGCGCAATCATCCCGTCAGCCTTGCTCTGCGGGTAATGAATCAAAACATCTAGACAGACCACCGTGTCGTACTTCCCATCCAAGCTCTCTAAATCCTTCACTTCGAATTTTGGCAGTACTGGTCCTGCCGAGAAGCCATTGCTTAACTGAAGCTGCTCTTTTGCCTGCATAAAAATCAAAAGTTTGAGATTAAACCACAGCCACCAGCAATTCACATTCAAGCAAAACAATCAACCAACACAACCCAGATTATAAAACTCCAACTCCAAAACCCACATCCAAAAAAGCAGCTTTTTCCAAATTCACTTATTTAAATCTAACATTTCAAGCAAAACAATCACCAACACTGACCCGGATTAGCAAATTCCAATTCCACTAAAACCCACATTGCCAATCGGCTTCGTTCCATCGAATTCAAAACCCACAACCAAAAAAGCAGTCTTTTTTTTTCAAAAATTACTTAGTTAGAAATTCACATTCGAGCAAAACCATCACCAACCCAGGTTAGCAATTTCCGATTCCACCAAAACCCACATTGCCAATTTCCCCAAGTCCATCAAACCAACACTTCCCTCCAAAACACAAAACCCAAAAAAATGCAGCTTTTTTCAAAGTCACTATTTCAAAACTCACCTGCTTCTCAGCCTCCGCAACCATGGCAGCTGAAATATCAGCAGCCGTGACAAACGCCCCTTCCTTCGCCAACGGAATCGCCAAGCACCCAGTCCCACACCCGGCGTCGCACACAGAGACCCCCTGAAGTGGGCCCTCATCGGTCAACATCTTCATCACATTCTCAACGGTCTTGGAGTGCCCGAGCCTGATGTCCCTCTGAACTCTGTTGACGTCATCCGTCTCTCCGTATATCTTCTTCCACCGCTCGAACCCGGACTTGTTGAAGTAGTCCTTCACCACCTCCTTGTCGCCGCCGCCGACCTCTTCGGCCTGGAGGCGGCGACGCTTTTCGGGGTCGGATAAGGAAAGCGCGGCGGCGAGGGCGGCCACCGAACCGCCGCCAATGGCGGCAATTGTGGCGCTGTCGACTTCGGCAGGAGGCGGGAGGGCGAAGAGTGGCTTGACGACGGTGGTGGGGGGTTTTAGGGTGGTAGGTTTTGTTGGCTTTGGGGAGAATATGGGCCTGGGATTTGGGTTGCGGAAGTGGAGTGGGGAGGATAGTGAGGCGGAGGATGCCATTTTTTGTCCTTTTTTTTTTGGTGTTCTTCTCTCTCCGACAGGCGAGAGAGAGCGTGGGAGTGTAACTGTGTGTCCGCTGGGCAGTTGATGAGCTTATCCTCGATGGGATAAGAGTTCATGCTTCCTCGACTCCCGCGGGCCCCCGCTTTTGTCAGGCTGTGTTTGGTTTGAGAAAAATTTGGGTGCGCCGGCCGTGCCACATCACCCTGTTCTTGCATTCACTCCATCAAAGCGAATTTGAGCTGTGATGGAATTGGTGCCCTGTATGTTTAGGCGTTGCTAGTATTAACTTATAACACGGTGATCATGTGCTTCAGGTAGCCTATAACATGAAAAGAATGAAAACCAAACTAATTCAAATAAAGTAACGTCTCAAGAAGAAAAAATGCCGAAAACCAAATTTTTTAAAATGAAAAAAAAAAAAAAAAATTGAAGTAGGGGAGGATCGATACTTCATTACCGATTATCTACTGAAAAGTTAGGATAGAAGTGATCCTCACTGCGGCAGGTTAGTAATGTCACACCAATTCTCCCCTTCTCTAATTATTTATTTATGTTATAAACTTCTTGTTTAAGTGTGATTATATAAATTTTAGATTGTATTTTATTCTAGTTATTCTTCTCTATTAGGACTTGTATTTCTTGGAGAAAAATCATTTTCTTCTCTCTTATTACTATAAATAAAGGCACTGCGTAGGGGGAATAACACACATTCTCTACACAACCCTACAAACGCATCTCTCTCTATTCTCTCTCTGTGCCGCCAGCCCCTTTCCCCTGTCAATCAAATATAGGCACTGCAAACCGAGTACCTTGCTGAGAAGGATCCACGAGCACTCTGAGTCGCTTTGGTTGATCGCTTTGATCACCAAAATGACATCTTCTTGCCTGAAGCAAGACATGACTGACATCATTTGCGCTTCCAAGACTTTCAGTTTGTAAATGAGTATAATTATGAAGTTTGTCGAATCCGATCACTTCTCAAGTTCTGTAACGAGACCTTGACCGAAGAGGATCTCCTGGAAAAGACCTATTCAACATTCTCTGCTACTAATATTGTCATGCAGCAACAATATAGGGCTCAAAAGTTCACTAAGTTTTCGGATTTGATCTTTGTAGCAGAATCAGCTATTGATGAAAAATCATCAAGCTCGACCTACTAGGGCGACTGTTGTGCCTGAAGCACATTATAGCACAAACAAACACCCAAAACGCCAACGTAGGTGTGGTAGGGGCAGCCAGAAGCCTCCCCGTCAAGGTGAACAGAGCCAAGGCCTATCTAAGGAAGGAAACCGAGCCCATAAGCGCCCTAACCTCTTTCCCAAAGCCCCGAACTAGAATAAGGACAAAGCACCTGAAACCATGGATGCAGACATGTGCTATCGTTGCGGTTCCAAGGACCATTAGTCTCGTGTTTGCCGAGCTCCCCAGAAGGTTGAATCAAATTTTGTGCAAGTGGATGAACCGGAAAGTACCAAGATAGAGGTTTCTGACTTTCAGGAGGATACCACCCCTATGAAAGATTAGAATATTAGACATAAACTATTTTTCTAGTTGAAATTTAGACAATGGGGCTGAATTCCACCTAGTGGGCGAACCCCTTCTTGTTTTTTGGTTTAATTTTGAACAAATTTCCTTTATGTTTGGATGATTTGTTGATGATTTATTTTTTGGATATTAAGTTTTTAATTAATTACCGTCCTTGAATACTTAAATTATTTTGAATGGATATTTGTTTTTGGAACTTTTATGCATGTGACCGATTCAAATTAATTTTTATTTCTAGGTATGACTAGTGGAAAAGTTAGTTGTCTGGCAAATAGTGCAACCACGCACACCGTTTTGCGTGAACGCATCTATGTCACTAATTTCATACCTAAGAATGCACTTCTAACAACCCTCTAAAGCCTATCCAACCTAATCGAAGGATACGGTAAGGCACGTATAAGGTTGTCTAATAGTACAATTTTGACTATTGAAGATGCATTTTATTCTCCGCGTTCCGGAAGAATGTTGTTGAGTTTCAAAGACATTAAAGATAATAATTACTATGCTGAAAGCTATGTAAAAAACGAAGTTGAATTTTTGTGCATAACTTCCTACGAATATGGCCAAAAGTGTATTCTAGAGAAGATGGAGCGTATCTGAAGTGATCTGTATACTACGACCATACACCCTATAGAAAGCCACTATATGGCCGACCCTACCTCTGGAACCGCGCACAAAATTACACTTTGACATGATCGTTTGAGATACCTTGGATGAACAACGATGCGTCGTATCCTCAAATCATAACACGGGCATCCACTAACCCGAAGTTTAGGTTCAATTCAAGGAATCACATGTCAAACTTACTCCATGAGAAAGCTTATTATTAAGCCTTCTTATGACAAAATTCGTTCAAATCCTCCTATTTTTTCTACAAAAGATTCAGGGGGACATTTGTGACCGATTCACCCTTCATGCGGACCATTTAGATATTTTATGGTTTTGGTTGACGCTTCCACATGTTGGTCACACGTGTGCTTGTTGTCCACAAAGAATGCTACATTCTCCAAACTGTTGGCTCAGGCTATCAAGCTCAGGGCTCACCACTCTGATTATCCGATCAAATCTATCTGATTGGATAATGCTAGATAATTCACATCTAAAACTTTTGATGACTATTGCATGTTGGTTGGGGTTGAAATTAAACATCCAGTACCCTATGTTCATACCCAGAACAACATGGCAGAGGCATTTGTTTTTACAAATGATTGCTCGATTGTTGGTCATACGTACCAAGTTCTCGATCGCTGCTTGGGGCTATACAATATTGCACGTAGCCATGTTGGTCCACCTGAGACCTGTTGTGACGCAACCATATAACGCCCTTTAGTTGGTTACCAGATACGAACCTAACATATCACATATGCGCGCTTTTGGTTGTGCGGTCTATTTGCCAATTTCACCACACTTATGTACAAAAATGAGGCCTCAGGGAATAATGAGAATCTATGTCAGATATGATTCTCCTTTGATTATTCGTTACTTAGAACCTTTGATAGGCGATCTTTACCACTCGTTTCACGAATTGTCACTTCTATGAGACAGTCTTCTCGTCATTAGAGGGGAGATAAGAACGTCAACGTTCCTGAAGAACGACGCGAATTATCATGGATGACTCCCACTTTGTCTCATTTAGATCCTCAACCGCTCAGTCTGAGACTGAAGTGCAGTGCATATTAGATCTTCATAGCATATCTCAGAGCATGCCAGATGTTTTCACCAATTTAGCGCGAGTGACAAGATCATATATTCCAGTTGCGAATGTGCCTACAAAGATGGATGTACCAAATGTATGACAGACTTCTCTCTTGGAGGCCCAGGACGCCACTTTGGCCGATCCACGTACATTAGCGACTAGCCAATCATCTGCCCTTACACATAAGTATGGCAGACCATTTGGTTCAAAGGATTCACACATCCGGAAGAGGAAAACCATGACACAGGCACCTGAAGAGCCTACCGTGAATCCGACTGTCGCCTATTAATTATATCAAACTTATGAAGAAATTCTAGTTTACAAAAGCGTCCTTGAATAGACGAATCTACCTCTAAAAAATCTTGAGATTTCGGTCCATTATGCTAGCTTGATGATGTTTAGTGTAAAAATGAGACGATCGTTGACGATGCATTAGCTACTGAGATCATGTTGAGCGATGACATTGAACCTCGTTCCGTTGATGAATGTCGACGTAGAACTGATTAGTCAAACTGGAAACAAGCAATCCAAGTCGAACTTGATTTGCTTGCTAAACATAAGGTGTTTGGACCTGTAACTCATACTTCTTCACATGTAAAACCCGTTGGCTACAAGTGAGTTTTCGTTCGGAAGTGTAATGAGAATAACGAAACTATGTGTTACAAAGCTCGTCTTATTGCACAATGTTTCTCACGACGCCATGGGATGGACTATGACAAAACTTATTCACCCGTTATGGATGCGATTATTTTTCACTACCTTATCAGTTTTGTAGTTTCTGAAAAACTAAGTATGCATCTGATGGACTTAGTAACTGCGTATCTCTATGAGGATCTTGATACGGAAATTTATATGAAAGTTCCCGAATGACTTACATTGATCAAATATTTCCAAACCCCGGAACACTATCTCAATTCAGTTGAGGCGTTCACTATACGGTTTGTAACAATCCAGAAAAATGTGGTATAACCGTATGAGTGAGTATTTGACTAGTCAAGGATATGTGAATAACGAACTATGCCTTTGTGTGTTCATTAAGAAGTCACATTCTAGTTTTGCAATTGTTGCAGTATATGTCAATAACATAAATCTCATCAGAACTCCTGAATAGCTCGTGAGAACTGCCGCGCACCTGAAGTCGGAATTTGAGATGAAAGATCTAGGAAAGACTCAATACTATCTCAGTCTTGAGATAGAGCATCGTTCAGATGAAATCTTAATACATCAATCGAACTACACCCAGAAGGTGTTGCGCCACTTTAACAAGGATAAAGCGAAGCCTTCGAGTACTCCTATGGTTGTTCAATCTCTAAATGAAAAACGAGATCCCTTATGTCCGAATAAGGATGATGAAAAGATTTTGGAGGCTGAAGTTCTTTACCTAAGTACGATAGGCGCTTTATTGTACTTAGCTCAATGCATTAGACCATACATCGTTGATCTTTTGGTAAAATATAGTAAATCACCAACATGCAAACACTGGACTGGTGTTAAAGATATTTTCCGTTACCTTAAGGGTATTACGGATCTAGGCTTGGTCTATCCCTATTGATCCTCGAGTGATGCCGCACCTCCTTATCTCGAGTCGATTCTCGCCTTATTGGTTATGCCGACGCATGATACTTATCTGATTCGTACAATGCGTGTTCTCAAACGGGTCATGTCTTTACCGTTGGAGGCACCACAATTTCTTGAAGGTCAACTAAACAGACCTTAGTTGCCACTTCGTCTAACCATGCTGAAATTCTCACCTTGCATGAAGCAACTTGCGAATGCTTTTGGTTGAAAACAGTTGTAGGCCATATTCGAAACTCTTGCGATCTTGACCCCTTTGTTGATGTCCCGACGATGATCTATGAAGACAATGCAGCAAGCATCGAACAACTCAAGAAGGGTTACATCAAAGGAGACAACACCAAGCACATTGCACCAGTTCTTCTTCTCATATCAACAACAAGAGCATCAAAAGATTGAAGTCACGCAAATCCGTTCACAAGACAATATGGCCGACCTCTTCACCAAATCACTACCGAATGCAACGTTTCAGAAGCTTGTTCAAGGAATTGGTATGCGTAAACTTTCTGAGTTGTAACATTGCTAGTTCTCTTTGGAATTCTGTCAAACTCAGGGGGAGTATCCTGAAGTATACTTGCTTAATCTTAAAGTACTTTTTTTCCCTACGATTAGGAGCATTTTTCCCACTGGGTTTTTGCTACCTAACGAGGTTTTGACGAGGCACCCACTTTGGGTTGATCATATCCCTAATGACGTTCCGTAAACGTTTCATTTAACTTTGCATTACCCTCGCATTTTTCCTTAGATTATGGGTTTTATCCCTACTCGGATTTTTACCATAGCCATAGGTTTTTTTTTAGACTTACTTTCTTATGCAAGTTCCTACCTTATTTGAGAATAGCGTGTTCCTAGAATCAGCGTCAACGAGTCGACTTCCTCAATCTCTACATGATGCTGAATCTACTTGAGTATTTACGCACTCAAGGGGGAGTGTTATAAACTTCTTGTTTAAGTGTGATTGTGTAAATCCTACATTAGATTTGATTTTAGTTATTCTTCTCTGTTAGGACTTGTATTCCTTGGAGGAGAATGATTTTCTTCTCTCTATTATTACTATAAATAAAGGCACTACGTAGGGAGAATAACACACATCCTCTACACAACCTTACAAACACATCTCTCTCTATTCTCTCTCTGTGCCGCCAGCCCCCCGTCCCATTTCAGTTAAATATAGGCCACAACAATTTATTCTTTTTGTTTTTTTTTCTTTCCAAACACCGAATTATCATCTTTATATTCTACAAAATGTACTTTTCGGTGCAAAGCCTCTTATAATTCAGATTTAAACTCTCTAAAAATAATGGTGTAAAACCTAAAGCCAAGTTCTAAAAAACTCTAGGTGATAATCGAGCGGCAAGCAAACGTCTAGTGCCTAGAAGGCTAAGGGACCTAGGCGGGTTTTTTTTAATTTTAATTAAATTTATTATATAACAATACAAACATATAAATAAGGACTACAATTATTTATAAGAAAGAAAGATGATAATTCGGTAAAAAAGTTGAAATAGGGAAGAATTGGTATGACGTTACCGTTTTCTCTATTGTACAATCGATGGGGTACTACTGTACTAGTGATTCTCACTTAGGTGGGTGGGGAACACCATATTGATCCTCTCTTTCTCAACTTATTTATTTATTTGTGCGTTTTTGTTTTTCGGTGCAAAACCTCTTATAATTTAGTATAATCTAACACTAAAATAACATGAGTACAAGTACTTGTACATTAGACTCGCCTAGAAGACTCACCTCTAATCGCGGTTTCAATGGTGGCGAAGCCCGTCTCCGCATATTTGGTGGCTGATGGTAAGAGTTTGACGCGCCCTAAATCAACGTATGCATACTCTTCAGTCCTCCCTTAGTCGTTCAACAATAACGTTCGGTTATCTTGTCTAAATTGCTTCAATCTTTTTTTTTTCATTTTATTCATGGCTAGGAGAGGAAGTATGAAATTTAATTTTTGTTTTTTCATTACAAGCCCTATTGCTACTTTAGTTAGGCTTGGGGAAGATGAAAGATTTAAATCTAGGACGTAGTAAACTGAAGAGAAATGTCATTTTTACCGGGACAATCCACCTGAAACTTTACTATTTAAAGAATGACTTATATGAAATATGTTTGCTATCATCGTAGCGTTCTTATCAAACACATTGTATTATTGAATCAAGATTTCATGTAGTGGTAAATCATATACATGACTAATCACACAATTTAACACATAAACATAAATTGCTCATTCAAAATACAAAATAAAAAACATGCGCACACATATCAAGCTCATTGACAAAAATATTTACTACGCTATTTTACATTTACTTAATACATTTATTATTACGGGAGTATATAATTTTTTTTCTTTTTTAACAAATGAGAATTCGTACAAACGGAGAATAGTGTGCATAATGAGCATCGATCAAAACCTTGCCGGAATATATATACCAAACAGTTGCCAATTTTTGTAGTGGAAATACAATTTTTTGTCCATTCAGGTGAAGGCACATGCTGTAACAGCGCCAAAGGCAAAGAGACCATCCACAAATTAGTACGAACCAGAGAGAGAGAGAGACAGAGATACCGAGAGCACTACGACTGCGAGGCCGCCGCCGGCGCCGGACCTATCACTCCAGTTACAATACCCGAGACATCACCTTATCCCAGGTAGGCATTCGGCCGGCAACCAAACGCCGTCGTTTCGCTGTGAAATTCGTTCTGCTTATCAATTGATTTATCTGTGGTTTTCTCAATGAAAGGGTTTTTGAAATGGGGAAAGAGAACCAGGCGTCAGCCATGGAAATCGACGATCCAAAGAACAACAGCTCCGATCAGATCTCCCCTAAATTCTCCATTAACGGTTCGCTCTCTGATCCCTTCGTTTCTGAAATCATTATCTCCGTCGTCGGTGTTTTTTTTTTTCGTTGATTGAAATTTGATTTCATTTTGATTTTCAGTGTTGCAGCTCTTGAAATCTGCTCAGATGCAGCACGGTTTGCGCCATGGAGATTACACTCGTTATCGGTACATATTCATTGCCATTTAGCTTAATTTTTGTTTCATTGTTGTTCATGCTGTGTGTTTGTGTGCATTGTGAAATAGAAATTGATATTGTTCTGTTGCTGGAATTGAATTTTTTTTGCAGGAGGTATTGCACTGCAAGGTTGAGGAGGTTGTACAAGTCGTTGAAGTTCACTCACGGCCGCGGTAAATACAACCGCCGGGCCATTACTGAATCTACTGTCACCGAAGTGAGGTGGGTATTATTTTCTCATGCATTTTTGTTTGTGGAAATGAATTATATGTTGGTCTTCTATTTTTATTGCTGAACTAGTGAACCGATCCCACTCAGTGACTTGGATTTTCCAAGTCTCCAACCGAGAAGTTTTCCTCACTCAGGAAATTAAGGGAACATTACCTCAACCTAAATGCTCCACTCACAAAGCTCCAACAAAAGAAAATTCAAAGAACTTAGAGAAGAAGGCTTTGGTGTATTTAACACAATACGTTGAAATGAAGGAAAGCTTATTTATTGATATCCCCGATAAGCTACAAATATGTACATATACATGAGTCAAAATAAACAAACAAGAGAGAGCCTTCACAAAGGTTGCTTAGGAGAAGTCGCAGCAGTCGGTAGAGCCCCAGAAAGAGAAGGCACCGGAGGGGGATCATTCGGAGCCTCAGTACTGGACAGAACCCTAGAAGGAGGAGGCATCAGAGGTTGATCATTTGGAGCTTCATTACGCGGTACAGCCCCAGAAGACGAAGGCAATAAATGCCTTTGGAACAAACCCACAAATCTCTGATGATCAAGTAAAACCTGACCATCAGATTCCTTCATATGGTCCAGCTTCCTCTTCATGTTTGTAGCATAGTCATGTGCGAGACGGTGCAACTGTTTATTCTCATGCTTGAGCCCTCTAATCTCCTGTTTGAGACTCATCACTTCAGCCGCCAATGATTCAACTTGGCGGGTTCGAGCAAATAGGCGTTGGGCCATATTAGACACAGAACCTGCACACTGAACACTGAGAGCCAGAGAATCCTTAACAGCTAACTCATCAGATCGTTTGGAAAGTAGTCTGTTATCTTTGGGAGTGAGAAGGTTCCTGGCCACCACCGCAGCGGTCATATCATTCTTCATAACGGAATCCCCAACGGTAAGAGGACCAGTAGGGGAGACGAAGGATGGGCGCCATATGTTGTCTGGAGAAGGCGGGGCTGCCTCTTCAACAAGGTTCAAGTCAAAACGACGGTCGGAGGGGCCAGACATTTTCAAAGGTGTTGAAGAGAGAAGAGGTCGAACAAATCAAGATCTTAGAAGTGTAAGAATGGAGATTCTACTGGTGGAGTTTCAAGTGTGCTTTGGAACTTAATGCCAGCCCCTATAAAAATCTGCACTCGACGGAGCTTCAGAAATCGAAAGAGGCGCCTGCTCAGAAATCGAAGAGGCGTTTTGCTTTCTCAAAAGCTGGGCTGCTCAGAGACCACGAGGGTCGATCTCAGAAATCGAAGAGGCGTCTGCTTTCTCAAAAGTTGGGCTGCTCAAAGACCACGAAGGTCGATCTCAGAAATCGAAGAGGCGCTTGCTTTCTCAAAAGTTGGGCTGCTCAGAGACCACGAGGGCCGATCTCAGAAATCGAAGAGGCACCTACTTTTCCAGCCTTGGCAGCACCTGTCACACGCACACTCAGCTTTGCGGAAATTATGGGCATTCTGTCGAAGACTTCTGGTGAAGTAGAAAGCACATGAGTCTTACTGTTCAATCACCCACTTCCCACACGCAATAGTAGCTCATGTGTATCACAGATAACTTTGCCAAAGTTCTCTGCCAAAGTTGAGCACGTGAAGCTTGCAGCTTCCACTACATCGCTCTGACCAAGACGGGTAAAAGAATAGCAAAGAAACAGCACTAACAAAGTTTAGACACATAAATTTTGAAGGTCTAGCTATCCCATATTATTACCCACAAGGGTAAAGGAACAGTATCACTGCTGGATAATTGGAAAGTCCCTGTGTGTCAACCTCTGTGCTTCGTGGCAAGGTAGACTAGCAAACATGCCCAACCTTTACTCACATTCGAGAAAACACTCCCAACAAGATTGCTTGCTCCAAAATCGAAGAGGCACCGCCCTCCGAATCTCGAGAGCCAGACTCCCAACATGATTACCTTCTCAAAAATCGAAGAGATACCGCTCTCCGAATCTCGAGAGCCAGACCTCCAGCAGGATTGCTTTCTCAAAAATCGAAGAGACATCGTTCTCCGAATCTCGAGAGCCAGATCCCTGATAGGATTGCTTGTTCGAAAACCGAAGAGGCAACACTTTCCCAACTACAAGAGCCGGATCTCCTTGGATAAAGCTGTCTGTAATCTTCACACGCAACATCAGCTTTCCACATACCACAGACCACTTTTTCAAAGTGCTCTGACAGGGTAAAGGAATAGCATTACTACTTGTTGTTAAGGAGACTCCTATATATGTCAACCTCCATCCCCCAACGGACAGACAGACCTGCAAAAATGCTCAACCCTTCCTCATATATGAGAGGGCACTCTCAACGAAGCCTTTCGAAATATTCAGCTTTCTTTCCCCCCCGATAATACCTCTGCAAACAAGTTATACTAGAGCAAGAATATCTTATATCATCAGGGTTAAAAGCAAGAGTATCCCATATCATGCTTTTTCCCTGTCTTTTCCTTTGGCCTTGTTCTTACCTGCAAGACAAGGAGAAAGAGAGCAATCAGTCAGCACTTGGAATCAAGCTTCCAGCCAGGAACTGACTGCCTGGAACTTACTTACCTGGCATTGCTCTCGAGTACTCATCTTCAACATCTTATGCTTCCAGGGAAGATACCGCATCTGCCTGAGGAACAGATAGGGCAAGTGAGAAGGATACAAGGAAGCATGTGGAGACAAGCGTAACAGCACACGTGCCGATACATCCATTACTCTGTCAAAGCAAAAGTATCCCATATCATTAGGGTCGAACGTACTCTAGATTTGATGGACTTGTTTTGACCCTCAAATTCTTCAGTCGGCCTTATACTCTGGAGGAAACCAGAAAACCCTCCAGCTCAGTTCAAGAATAAGCCTGTGGAAAGTTACTTCTTCAAAAGCAAAAGTATCCCATATCATCTCTTCTCATTTTTCTTCTCTTTATCCTTCATGCTGCCTGCAAGATAAGGGAGAATGTGAACAATCAGCCGGAGCTCTGATTGCTTACCTTGTCTGTCACCTCTTTCAGCAAATCCCCTAGCTCGGCAACTTGAGGGACTCCTACTACATGGTTTGTATCGCGCTTGACCAAGCCTGAAACTACAAGTAAGCTTCAAGTGAAATTGATACATTACCTTGTGCATCTCCACCAGTTAAAGATACCACCCCTGGATGGAGGAAGAGTACTTCCAGAGAAGATGCCACATCTACCTGTGAGACAGATAAGGCAAGTCAAGACGATACCACATTCCGATACTTAGAAGTTTCGTGATTACGAGATCATTCTCCCACAATATTTCCTAATGTCATTTGTACTAAATCATTCACCTGTACTCACTAAAGGAAAGCTTGAACCTATGTACTTGTGTAAACCCTTCACAATTAATGAGAACTTCTCTATTCCGTGGACGTAGCCAATCTGGGTGAACCACGTACATCTTGTGTTTGCTTTCCTATCTATATCCATTTATATACTTATCCACACTAATGATCGGAGCAATCTAGCGAAGATCACAAAAAGCGACCGTTTTCGCTACCTAGGATATATCGTGCAAGAGAACGGAGAATTAGAGAGATCTCAACCATAGAATAGAAGTTGGATAGATGAAGTGTAAGAGTGCATCCGGCGGGTTGTGTAACCGTCGTAGGCCACTGAAGCTCAAGGGAAAATTTTATAGGACGGCAATAAGGCCAGCGATGTTGTATGGCACAGAATGTTGGGCGGTGAAGCATCAACACGTACACAAAATGGGTGTGGCGGAGACGAGGATGCTTCGTGGGATGTGTGGGCACACAAGAAATGATAAGATTGGAAATGAGGATATTCGAGGTAAAGTAGGAGTGGCCGAAATTGAAGGAAAGATGAGAGAAAATCGGTTCCGGTGATTTGGACATGTGCAAAGAAGGCCTACTGACGCTCCGATTCGAAGATGTGACTACGGGACAGAGGTTCAGGGCCAAAGGGGTAGAGGAAGACCTAGGAAAACTTTGGAAGAGACTCTAAGAAAAGACTTAGAGTACTTGGTTCTAACGGAGGACATGACACAAAACCGAGCGCAATGGCGTTCTAGGATTCATATAGCCGACCCCACTTAGTGGGAAAAGGCTTTGTTGTTGTTGTTGTTGTTGTTAACAGTTTGGTTTTCCGTGTTTGCAATAGGTATCTTCATATGGTTCTTTATACAGCAGAGAGAGCATGGAGCCATGCCATGGAAAAGAGACAGGTTCTGGATGGTCCAAATGCTCGTCAGCGGATCTATCTAATTGGTAGGCTGAGGAAGGCAGTAAAATGGGCTACTCTTTTCGCACAGTTGTGCGCAGTCAAGGGAGATTCCAGAACTTCATTAGAAGCTGAGGTGCGTATTTTCAGTTGCAAGTGTATGTCCTGTCCTAAATTTATAATATTTTGGGGTCATAGTATGATGTGTTCTAGATGGTTAATTGCCATTGGTACTGATGATAGTCTTATGGTACTATTAACATGTGATTTTCATTGATTAAGGATAACTTTTGTTTCAAGTCGCATAGTTGTTTTCTTCTCACCTTGCTAACTTTTAATTTTAATATGTAGGCTTATGCCTCCTTTATGAAAGGGAGCTTGTTGTTTGAGCAAGATCAGAATTGGGACACTGCATTGATGAATTTCAAAAGTGCCAGGTTCAACCTTGTCTGAAATTATTTACATTGATTAATGCTGCTTTTATGTTAGAAATGCATGGGTCATTTGATGCCTTTAGTTTGTGTTTGCCCAAAAAGTCTACATTTACTAATGTTAAAAAGCACTAACCAATTAAAATACATGCTACAAAAGGAAATATAATTTCTCTAATTTTTTTTGCTTCAAGTTAAAATTTTGATTAATACAATTCTAATAGAACAGATACAGCATTTGAATAGACAGATATGCATGTAGGAGTCAAGTATTTTTGGTTCAATGAATCGTGTATGATAAACTTAGCCAATATGTTTAGGGCTGTTTATGAGGAACTTGCGAAATATGGAGACCTGGAGAATCAAGTTTTGTGCCGTGAACGTGTTGAGGAATTAGAACCTAGTATCCGATACTGCCTACACAAGGTTGGAGAGTCAAATCTACAAGCCTCCAAACTTCTACAGATTGGGGAGATGGAAGGACCTGCGCTGGACCTCTTCAAGGCTAAATTGGAGGTACGGTTGGTTCATTTAAAGTAAACCATACCTGTGATGCTTCTTCTTCCTTTATCCTTCAGAGGCCTCTTTTTATTTTACTGATGACTTGAAGAAACTTGGAAATATAGGCTGTTATGGCCGAGGCAAGATCTCAACAGGCTGCCTCCATGACAGAGTTTCATTGGCTTGGTCATAGATTTCCAATTTCAAATCCAAAAACTCGAGTTTCCATTTTAAAAGGTCAGTAATTTGTTTACTTTCTTTGCTATTTTAAATCTCGACAGCAGTATAAAGAATTTTATTTTTTCTTGTTCTCATCAACAATTTTTTTCCTACTGATTTTATGTTTTTGTTAATTGGTAGAGGACATTGCAGAGCAGATCATGTCTCTTGTTATTCATGCTCTGTGTGTGTGTGAGTGTAAATGTCTGTGCCTGTAAGGTCTCGTTGAGAATGATTGTTTGTATGATGAAAATCTTTAGCTGAAGATGGTAAATTTATTACTTACTGAAAAAATGATGGTATGTCTAAAAGGATCTGAGAATCACATAACTGAACTATCTTCTTTGAAGAAGTGCACCATTCATTAGGACGGTTGGGTGGGTGGGGTCTTTGTAATTGTCAGAATTGGAAAGAAAATCCTAGACAAGGTTTTGATGCATATTTCAAGGGAACTGCAATGTGGAAGACTTCCTTTTAATTTGACTTTAAAAAGTTGTAGGTAGGGCAATTTCCTAGCTAGAACTGGATACTTGTCATACATCATTGCACTTGAGAATTTGTAGCCTTTATCTTTGCTTAGATAACACAAATTACAGATTCCCTGACATTTTTGTGCAAATTTGGTGTGTGATTCATCATGTCATGTTTCTTTCTTTCTTTCTTTTTGCACATTTAGAATTTCAATAAAGTGCTGTGTTTGTTTGATTTTTTCTTTCTTTCTGCATACTTATAATTCCACTAAATGCTGTGCTTTGGTTTGATGTGACAAAATTGTTCAGCTCAAGAATTGGAGAAAGATTTGCTTGGTTCATCGACTAATTCACTCCTACCAGAGAAAAAAATAGGCATTTTTGACAAAATTTTTACCGCATACCATGAGGCAAGGGGTTGCATTCGCAATGACTTGGTATGGAAGTTTCTTAACATAAGAATTTATTTTCCTTTTCTGATGCCCCAAGGATTTATCTTGCTACATTCTTCTACATTTTTTTTTCTCATGCGGATGTTCCTGACACTGTTTATAGGCTAGTGCAGGTAATTCTGAAAATGTGAAGGATGACTTGAATGGCCTCGATAAAGCTGTTAGTGCTGTATTGGGACAGCGAACCATTGAACGAAACCAACTGTTGGTTGCCATTGCGAAGAGTAAACTTACCAAAAGACGTGATGACAAAAACGAGAAAGCTACTAAGCCTGAAGAGCTTGTTCGGTTGTATGATCTACTTTTACAGGTTAGTTGCCTCTGTTTTGCATTGTTTCCTACTTGCCTTTCATCATGTGTAAATGCTTTAATTTTAAGGAAAACTAACCAAAAGGGCTTCAAAACTTTGAGTTTTAACCAAAAACCATGTTGTAAGTTTATTTAACGGAGCGTTAACGAAAAGGACTTGGGCTAAATTTTATTTAATGAAAAATCATCCTAAACTATTATTGAATAAAAAGGGCTTAAGTTTTATTCGTAAAGACATAACCCAAGCCCTTAAAAAACAAAAAACACAGGCTCAGCATAACATTTATTATCCCAAAAATGACCCTGACGGAAATAACCCAAGCCCGTTACAAACATAACAGTTACTACATTCAATCCATCACTCTACCGCCATTAATTGCACCAACCACCCCTACAATTCAGATTCCTTTCTGCAAAACCCAATTCCAACTTCAAACTCCAAATTTCATATCAAAATCTACAAGGACCTGCCGAGAACAACAAATTCTGATGAACAACAATGGCAGAAGAACAACAAATTACGGCTGAACAACAAGTTCCCAACGATCAACAAGTTCCCGACTATCAACAACTTCGGAATAAACAAGCAGCTCCCAAGGAGCAACAAGTTACCTCCAGACAAAAGGTACTAAACTGAAATCCTTGTTTGCATGTTCTTGATTCCATATAATCTATCAATTTTAAATTAGACACTACATTTTGATAACTAATCAATTATTTCCGAAACTGAAATTCTATGTGTTCACTACTATTTTTCAATTTCATGTTTAAGTTTAGGATAGTTCAAGCAATATTGTGTGTTATTTTTGCCTCAAATCCACAGTTAGTTTGGGTTATATTGTTTTAGATCAATAAACAGTGTATATTTTGTTAGATCTCATAAAAATAGGGGGTTATTTTTCATCAATTGCACAAAATAGTTAGGTTATTATGCTTAAATTCTAGAAATAATTTTCGGTTTTGATCCCTTTCCATATAAACAATGTGGGTTATCCATAAACAGTTCTTAATTGTTATTTCTCATAACTATTGGTGGTTATTTTGGACTAATATTCAGTTTGCTCAATTTCATAAATAATGTCAATTGATTTGGTTTTGTTTTGATCCCTTTTATAAACAATGTAGGTTGATTTTGTTTTGTTTTGCTCCCTTTCCTTATAAATAATGTGGCATAATTCATAAACAATATGGATTATATTGTTCTATATCCATAAATAGTGTGGGATATTTCATAAATAGTTTGACATATTTCATAAATACTGTGAGTTCTATCATTTTTTTGGTTACTTTCTGCTATTTGTGTGTGGTTTTTTCCAATGAGGTTTATTTTGGTACATTACATAAAATCGAGTGAGTCTATTTAGCGTAATTTCATAAATAACATGCTTTTTTGGTTATAATTCAATAAATAGTATCCTAACAATTTTCATTGTTGAAGATGAAAACACGAAAAAACCTAGAAAGAAGGGTAAAAAGAACAAAAAAGAAGCTAAACAGAAGAAGGAATACCTTCAGTACACATGCAACATGATCGGGTTTGCAGAAGCAATGAAAGTCTACAACCCTCTGTTACAATGGCGTCAAGACGTCTGTAATGAACTAGCATAGACGCCATTTTGGAGTCTACTGAAGATGTACATGGATGAGACTTTGATTACATCAGAAAGGAAGAGAAAGTCCGACATGGACTTGATCAAAATCATTAACTGCTACAACCCAACAACCCAAAAGTTCAAATTTGGGCGTCATAAAGCACATGGGATTTCCAGCAATGTTGTTGTCCAAATCTTCGAATTGAACAACGAAGGAATCAATCTGCCGAATACAGACAAATCAACCAAATTTGATGATGATGACCGCCTCATTAAAAAGTACCTCGCAGATGTCAAGGTAATCAAGAAGAAGAATCTTGCAGTCATATGAGAAACCACTTCAACCTATCTCGGAAATCAACACAACCTCCCTTAAAAACTTGCCTCTCAGATTCTATATAACTATCCCATTCACACGACATATAATTATGGATACCATAAGAATCATACTTCCCTAAATGATCATTTTCACTAACAAAAATCTTAGAGAGCTTGATGTGTGGCAAGATGAAGATATGCTTTCCGTAGGTAACTGAACTATAGAACCATCACATTTATCAATAACCAATATTTCTATGATGAATTTTCTAACAATATCAAGAACCTTCAACATATTCCTAACATGGGCATCACAATCAAGAAGACATGTAGGATTTTCATTCAAAGCATATCGCAAATCAAATTAACCAAGTCTCAAACCCTTAAATCTAGAACAAATATCAATACAAATCTGATTAAATGTAGAAGTTGATGAAATAGAACTAACAACGAATAAACCATTATATGTAAATTGAGCCAGTTCACTCCATAACTAATGAACAAAAAAACATACAATTACAAAACAGTACACAAAATATTATATGCAGATAACAAAAAAACGACGACAAAATATAAAACACTACAAAAACTATTTAATAATCTGTTGCAAAACTAAACCCAATACTTGTAAAACAAAAGAATAACTGTTTCAGAAAATCATATTCATCTAAAATGAACAAAAAATTAACAATATTTCTAAAACAAAACATCACAAACAATCTTTCATAAACTATTATAGAATTACATCCACTCCTAAATTTGTTTGTGATGTTTTTGTTTTAGAAATATTGTTAGTTTTTTGTTCATTTTAGATTAATATGATTTTTTTGAAACAGTTATTCTTTTGTTTTACAAGTATTGAGTTTAGTTTTGCAACAGATTATTAAATAGTTTTTGTTTTGTTTTATATTTTGTCGTCGTTTTTTTGTTATTTGCATATAATATTTGGTGTACTGATTTATAATTGTATGTTTTTTTTGTTCATTAGTTATGAAGAATTGTGAACTAGCTCAGTTTACATATGGTGGCTTATCCGTTGTTAGTTCTATTTCATCAAAATCTGCATTCGATCAGATTTGTATTGATATTTGTTCTAGGTTTAAGGGTTTGAGACTTGGTTAGTTTGAGTTGCGATATGCTTTGAATGAAGATCCTACGTGTCTTCTAGATTGTGCTGCCGATGTTAGGAATATGTTGAAGGTTCTTGACGTTGTTAGAAAATCCATCATAGAAATATTGGTTATTGATAAATGTGATGGTTCTAATTACCTACGGAAAACATATCTTCATCTTGTTGTGCAGCAAATTCGAAGATTATTGTTAGTGAAAATGATCATTTAGGGAAGTTTGGTTCTCATGGTATCCATAATTATGTCATGTGAATGAGATAATTATATAGAATATGAGGGGTAAGTTTTTAGGGGAGGTTGTGTTGATTTCTGAGATAGGTTGAAGTGCTTTCTCATATGCCTTTGCAAGATGCTTCTTCTTGACTACCTTAACATCTGCAAAGTACTTTTTGATGAGGCGGTCATCATCACCAAATTTGGTTGATTTGTTTGTATTCGGCAGATCGATTCCTTCGTTGTTCAATCCGAAGATTTGGACAACATCATTGCTGGTAATCCCATGTGCTTATGACGCCCAAATTTGAATTTTTGGGCTCTAGCAATTAATGATTTTGATCAAGTTCATGTTGGACTTTCTCTTCCTTTCTGACGTAATCAAAGTCTCATCCATGTACGTCTTCAGACTCCAAAATGGCATCTTTGTTAGTTCATTATAGATGTCTTGACTCCATTGTAACAGAGGGTTGTAGACTTTCATTGCTTTTGCAAACCCGATCATGTTGCATCGGTACTAAAGCTATTCATTCTTTTGTTTAGCTTCTTTTTACCCTTGTTTGCAGGTTTTTTCGTTGTTTTCATCTTCAACAATGAAAATTATTTGGATACTATTTATTGAACTATAACAAAAAAAAAATGCATGTTATTTATGAAACTATGCTAAATAGACTCACCCTATTTTATGTAATGTACCAAAATAAACTCAATTGGAAAAAAACTACACACAAATGACAGAAAGTAACCAAAAAAATGATAGAAGTCAGTATTTATGAAATATGTCAAACTATTTATGAAATATCTCACACTATTTGTGGATATAGAACAATATAACCCACACTGTTTATGAATTATATCACACTATTTATAAGGAAAGGGAGCAAAACAAAATCAACCTACATTGTTTATGAAAGGGATCAAATCAATCGACATTATTTATGAAATTAAGCAAACTGAATATTAGTCCAAAATAGCCACCAATATTTATAAGAAATAACAATTAAGTTTGTTTATGGATTACCCACACTGTTTATGTGGAAAGGGATCAAAACCAAAAATTATTTCTGGAATTTAAGCATAATAACTTAACTATTTTGTGAAATTGATGAAAAATAACCCTTGATTATTTTGAGATCTAACAAAATATACATGGTTTATTGATCTAAAACAATATAACCCAAACTAACTGTGGATTTGAGGCAAAAATAACACACAATATTGCTTGAACTATCCTAAACTTAAACATGAAATTGAAAAATAGTAGTGAACACATAGAATTTCAGTTTCGGAAATAATTGATTAGTTATCAAAATGTAGTTTCTAATTTAAAATTGATAGATTATATGGAATCAAGAACATGCAAACAAGGATTTCAGTTTAGTACCTTTTGTCTGGAGGTAACTTGTTGCTCCTTGGGAGCTGCTTGTTCATTCCGAAGTTGTTGATCGTTGGGAACTTGTTGTTCGTCAGAATTTGTTGTTCTCGGCAGGTCCTTGTAGATTTTGGTTTGAAGTTGGAATTGGGTTTTGCGGAAAGAAATCCGAATTGTAGGGGTGGTTGGTGCAATTAATGGTGGTGGATTGAATGTAGTAACCGTTATGTTTGTAACGGGCTTGGGTTATTTCTGTCAGGGTCATTTTTGGGATAATAAATGTTATGCGGGTTGGGCTCTTAGTTGAGCCCGCATTTTTTGTTTTTTAAGGGCTTGGGTTATGTCCTTATCATTAAAGCTTAAGCCCTTTTTATTAAATAATAGTTTAGGATGCTTTTTCATTAAATAAAAGTTAGCCCAAGCCCTTTTCGTTAATTCTATTAGATGCTGATATCTCAGGTTATAAATAGAATACTTTGTGTAATGTTGTTGTATTTGGCAGAATACATCTGATCTATCAGATCTAGTCAGCTCTGGAAGAGACAGAAAACCAGAAGAAGTGACTTTTGCTGACGAATGTGAACTAAAAAGTTTGGCTTTCCGGGCAGAGAGGTCTTTTTTGGCATACTTCTCTTTCTATTTTATTTATATACATAATAATAAACTTTGGCATAATTGTCTTCATGAATGCCATGTTCTGGGGATTGCTTCTGTGTTTGTTTTTTCAGATGACACCTATATCTCATTAAATATTGGAATCAGGATCCCTATCTTCTACAAAACCATAAGGCCTAAAACACTAATTTTTCATGTATCATGATTACTTCTCTTGCCATTGCAGGAACTCTTACGTAAACACTAATATCACAAAGTGGTTTTCTTGTGCTTAGATTGACCTTTAAATTTTCTGCAGTTGCCAAATTATGTGTCTTTTGTCTTCTTCACCCCTTTGGAAATTTTTTTGGCAATGTTGTCAAGGATTCACTATATCTTGTTTATGGTTTCATGCTTGTTAAATTTCTTCTGCTTAAACAAACAACCAAGGTTTTGGATGTCAAGGGATATTGTCTATTCAATCATTTATAGGCATTCCGATTTTTCGCAGGTGTTTCTTTCTAGGTAAATCATATAGCTTGGCCGGTAAGAGGCTAGAAGCTTATGTGTTGTACTGCCATGCTCGCTCCCTTGCAGAGAATGCCCTACAGAAATTTCAATCTGTGAATGACGGTGACGAGGTTCGTCTTACTGTAGGCCTTTTATTTTTGGCAATGTGTTAGCATAAACATTGAGTTAACAATATTGACCTCTGTACTTTAAGACCCTTTTGTCAGATGTATCTTGGGTATGGCTAAACAACGTTAGGTATCTGTTTAGTCTGGCCGTTGGTTCCCCATGCAACTGGGGAGACAGATCTTTTGGAGTTGAAACTTTCTATTAGTTGACTTATTATCATACCATATACCAGTTTTCATGAATGAGCACTAAGATGAATATAAGTTTGATCAGTTCTATCTGAATAGCAGGCGATGATCAAAGAGTTGAAGACATTGTGTGATGAGTGCAGATCCAACAGTTGCATAGAACATGCCACGGGGATCATGGAAGAGCTTCAGGCTCCTGAAAACCTTTCAAAAAAGATATCTAATATCAACTTAACTGGTGTTGACAAGAAGGTACCACTTAGTCATTCCCTCTTCTTTAACCATTTTTAGGCAGAATCTCGATGATTTTACTCAAAAAAATTCTGTTAATCATATCAGTGTTTATCTGGTTTGTGTATAAATGTGTCGGGCAAGATAGTGAGGGTGTTTTGCATACTCGATCAGGATCCTCTCATTTGGGTCCAAAAGTGAAGAGGTCTACTTGATTCTGGACCAATTATGGCTGTCTCTGGCCCGTCTAGGCCTGCCCAGACATTGGACTTTCCAGATTAAGAACTGGCCTTTTCCTTGTGCACTACTTAGGCTTTATGGATGCTCAAGCTGTTGTGTGTTTTCTAGGTTGTGAGAAACCGGGACTTCTAACCCGTGATACTTTGCTATAGTAGCTATCTTTTGGATGAGTTTTTTTTGACAGATTTGTCTATAAGCCTCTTTTGTGTGATTATGCTCATGTTCGGGTATGTAATAGAATGCACCTAGGTCTAATATTCTGACACTTTTGTGATATGCTGATTTGGGTATTTCCAGGTGGAGTTCCTCCTCGAGAAACTTGATGTCTATGAATCTGCAGTTGGCGATGCAAACGTGAAAAGTGCTCCACGGATTGAAGCTTTCCCTCCTCCCTTTCAATCAATTCCTCGAAACCCTATTGTGCTCGACCTTGCCTACAATCATATTGACTTCCCGTCACTTCAACATAGGATGAAGAAAGACAAAAGCGGCGGCTTCCTTAAAAGGTTTTGGGGATGAGTTCTCAGAGTTTTTCTATACGATAGGTTCATTACACACTCCGAAGAAGTTGAGGATTTCTGTTACTTGTACTTTGTCCTCGGCGGCCTTTGAGAAACAGTTTTTGAAATTAGCAACCAGGAATATGGAGATGCAACTTTCTTTTTTGCTGTCAAATCTCGAAATTTTACAGAGGAAAGTGCTGGTTGTTGTTCTGATGAGTTTTTGGGTTTTAGATTATTTCGGTCACTGAAGATGCATGAGATGGGCAATGGTTATGCAGGCGAGTAACCGCGAATCCGCGATTAATTTACCATAACCGTTTATGCTTATACCCGCATAATCGTTTACTCGTTAGGTAATTGCCTAAACGGTTATATCCATACCCATAATCGTTTATAAACGGTTAACTATACCCATAATCGAATATCCATTTAACCGTAACCGTTTAATACCTGTTTACCCATTTATCATTTTTAACCCGTTTATCTTTTTTTTTTTTACCATTACCCTTTTTTCACCTGTCTACATGTTTTTTAACAACTTGAAAATTAAAAAAATTTGTCATAATTTTTTTTTTTTGACAATTAAACACCGTTATAGGTACATTCATCATACATTTCCATATTTTAATTTTTTAAGTCCTTATACCATTTCAATAATTGAAATAATAGTTTACGGATGATATTTTTAACTGTTACCAATGAAGGTAAATATAATATTTGTTAAGTATTATTGGGTTATAAAAATTGTTTAGAAGACATTTCTGTCAAAGCATTTCTGTCAATTTCACGGTTACCCGCAAGGAATTTAAATTAATTTGGCCAATTCCTTGATGATGAGAATTATCATTCCTGTAGTAGTGTTATTGAGAGAATGACCGATGAATTCCTTGTTAATTTATTGGATGCTAAGTATTATTTGATCGAGATCGAGAACATGGTTTGTGTTAGTTTTACATATATAAAATAAATGGGTAAACGGTTACCCGTTTATAACCGTGGTTAATACCCATAACCGCCAATTTAAATTTCGCGGGTAAACGGTTATATTCATAACCGTTTATTTATCTAAACGGTTACTCATAACCGTAACCGTTTAATTTAAATGGACGGATAAATGCGATTATCCATAACCAATGGGTATTTGCCCATCCCTATGCATGCGACTGTGGCCTTCTCTGTGGGTCTGCCCGAACCCACTGTGTTCGGGACGGGTCAGGTTTGTCGGGGAAATATCCATCTCTAGAGAAGCTTGGTTATAACTGGCAACAAACGCTCGTGTCACAGACAGTGAGGTTCCTATCAATGTCATCAATTGGTGGAAAAAAAGTTGTAGGGGCTGATTGATCGGCTGCTTAAATCTCGAAACTATCTATAAAACTTGGAGAATTTCATAAACCCTATCAGCTATCAAATTTATTATTTTTTAATAATTTTCGGGAGGGGTGTTGTAACTTATGACCTCTTAAATATTGGAAAGCTAGAGTGAGTTGGTAATTATGAACTCTGCAAGAGGCTTATAACTTCAGTAGTTGTGCTGTTGGAGCGTTCACTCATCATGCACCTGACGTTTTGTGTTGGATTTTTATTCCTCCAATATCGTTTGTATAAATGCAAATTCTGACATTTGGTCATGTTTGGTGGGCTGGATTGAATGGGGCCTTAAGGATAGGATTGGATTGGTAGGGATTTGTAAGACAAGTGCAATTCATGTATAATGATAAGTTAGATAATCCATTTTATTGTGAATTTGTAACTCATCATGTCCGTCATCTCACATTTTGACATAACAAACAATGAATTGAACTTGAATCCTTTTTTTTCTTTTTCTTTTTAAACAAACAATATTATCAACACTAAACTCAAATCAATGTTAACTGATCCCAACTTATCACATACGGCTTACCAAGCGAGGCCTTACCGACAATCATAAAAACTTTTGTAGTGAGGAGTACGGTTGTATTAGTGTCAATTGTTTGGTGAACAAAAAATAAGATTCTGTGGAACCTACGGCGTTGCGTTGTGGTGGGAACTGGTCCAAAATATCACACAATGAAATTAAGAGAGAGAGAGAGAGAGAGAGAGAGAGAGAGAGAGAGAGAGAGAGAGAGAGAGTAAAAAAGGAAAAAAAGGCGGGGTGAGAGCCATGAAACATCGCAGACACCTTCGTCCTCCACAAACTTGGTGCATTTTCGATCCCCCACCCCTCTCCTTTCCAAGAAAAAAAAGGAAAACAAGAAGCTTTTTTCGTCGACCAAAAAAACAAGAGAAGCTTTTGGCGACCACATTGCCACCATAACTCTCTCTCTCTCTCTCTCTCCTCTGTGTGCAGAAATTCAAGGCGATCTCTGTATCCTTCCAAACATGCATTTCGCAAAGCTCGATGATTCGCCTATGTTCCGCCAACAGGTTTCTTCATTTTCTAAATTTTTATATGCTTATATATATTGTCATTATCTTTGTATGCTAACATTATGCCATTGAAAGCTCAGATCAACTTGTTTGTTTTGGTAGGCTGATTTTATCGTCCTAGTTTACAAATTTCACATTTTTTTTCTTTCTTCTGAATTTTTGGATTATGGTTACCAATGGTGTGACATTCTTGCTTCTCTTATCGTTTGCCAGTTTGGTTGATTTTCTTTTTAAATAAACGCATCGCGTATAGTGAAACATTTTCGGCGTAATATAGATCGTTAAAGATAGCTAATGCAGCAGCCTTGATGCTGTCATTGTATTCGAACCCATGTCGTTAAAACTACTTGGGTGAAGAAAGTTACTACTTTTCTCTGCATTTGTTGTTTATTCGATATTCGTTACTCTGCACAATCTGGACACTTGAAGTTTTGATGTTTGCTTATTGATGTATGCTATTTTGGAAACAGATACAAGGGTTGGAAGAAAGTGCAGAGTCGCTGAGGGGAAGATGTTATAAGTTTTACAAAGGATGTCGAAAGCATACGTACGATGAGAAGTCTCTCTATCTCCTTATGCTTTCTGTCTGAATAATGACAACACCTTCTCATTGAACAGCTTTCTTTGGCAGTTGTGTTGTTGTTGTGGCGTCGAAACATTAAATCTTTAAGCTTTTTAGCATCCGAGAATAAACAAATTACTCGACAAACACATGAATTCACAGAGGAAAACTAAATCCTCTTCATATGAAGAACTAAACCAAAACTTCCCCACTCAATCTCCCCCGTTCAAACCATGGAGTTTATTACTTCTTAAGAAAAATAGACGGAATTGTGGAGTAGTTTTTGTGGTTTTATAATCATCAACAGCTGTTATATGTGTCTTATAATTTTTATCCAATTTAATTTTTCAGAGAAGGGCTTGGAGAAGCGTATGATGGTGAAATCGCTTTTATAACTGCCCTCGAAACTTTTGGGGGAGGGCATAATGATCCTATTTTTTCAGATTTAGGAGGTATGTCTTTGTATGATTGTGTTCATCTCTGCCTAGTTTCTGTCAGTACTTATAAATTCCGCATTAATTTTCTCAGGCCATGTTATGACCAGATTCACAACTGCATTGAGAGAAATCGCGACGTACAAGGAAGTTTTTCGTTCACAGGTACTAATCTGTTCCGGTGTCCTCAACAAAATCATAATCTGAACAATATTTGTCGATACGATCATATTTTTTCAACCTTAACCGTATCTTCATCTCATGATGCTTATATATGATTTCTGTGTTGAAATCTCATGTTTGGTCTCAGTTAGAGCACATGCTAAATGATAAGCTGATGCACATTGTCCATGTTGACCTCCATGATGTCAAGGTACAATGTCCGGCGAAAGGTTAAGTAGGCTTGTTTACGTATACACTATACTTACAGTAGTTGCTCCGGTTTACATGGCATTGGTTTCGATATTATGAACTGTGTTCTGTTGTATTCCCTTTCATCCCTCTCATTGTCTAACAAATTCCTTTTTTCGCTAAAGTATCTTATTGGTGCAGGAAGCCCGAAAGCGTTTTGACAAGACTTCACTTGTATATGATCAGGTGGTTTTCTGTTCTGACAATTTCATACATTCGCATTAGGCGTCGAAGTTTGCAGAATACAATATTTTTCTTCAATCAAAATATGGTTTCTTGTGCAACAAGCATGTGTTTTTGTTAGACTTAAAAGGGTAATGTGTATTCTGTGCACACTGCACAGGCACGTGAGAAGTTTCTGTCGTTGAGGAAGAGTACGAGGATGGATATAGCTGCTAGTATAGAGGAGGTATATCCAAAATGGTTCACCTCCAAATTCAAGTACTATTCAGTCTGTTGTATAGGTTGAATTAAGATAGTTTTCCATGGGTGACCACTCAAATCTAACTTGGTAGAGAGACATTCCAGGAACTGCAGAATGCAAGATCCTCATTTGAGCAAGCCCGCTTCAACCTGGTAAGATAAGTTTCACAACGACAATTTGGTTCAGATAAAATGCAATGCAGAAGAAGTTAGGCTTTCAACATAGTCTACTTATGTATGCAGGTTACCGTTCTATCTGATATCGAGGCCAAAAAAAGGTTTGAGTTTTCTGAAGCTGTTAGTGGCATGATGGATGCTCATCTCCGTTACTTCAAACACGTATATTACACCACCCTATTGATAATTTGTGCATCGCAATGTCTACACTGCTTATGATATTGTCCCTTCCATTTGCAGAGTTATGAGTTACTGCATGCAATGGAACCATATATCCATCAGGTTTGTGATAATAAACAGCATCAAAGTTCTCTTCGGAAACTTTATGGTTTCACTGTCAAGTTAACATCTGTTATTGTTAACTGTTAAGAGTTTTTGCTGTTTTCCGGTATAGGTTTTGGCTTATGCACAACAGACAAGAGAAAGTTGCAAACAGGAACAGATATCTCTTAATGAAAGGATACTAGAGTACAGGAGGCAGATTGATCGGGAAAGTATGCAGTCCTTGAGCGGTATCCATGGTTCCCCCAGTGGAGATGGTCCACAGCCTCTCTCTCGGAAATCACATAAAGTGATCGAGGAAGTGATGCAATCTGCTGCAAAGGGGAAGGTACTTGCAGTTGCAGATATATTTCAGATTTCTTTTAGTTTCGGCACAGTTTGAAGTTGCATCCCTGTAGGTATGAATATGCTTTCAGGTACAACCCATTCGGCAAGGATATCTATCAAAACGTTCCTCCAATTTGAGAGGTGACTGGAAGCGAAGGTATTTCATCCTTGATAGTCGAGGGATGCTGTACTACTATCGCAAACCATTGACTCGGCCATCTGTAAGTCATTTGCCGGAGGATACGTTGTATAAACCTTGTTTTGTGTGTCTCCCACTGCTTACTTGATGTTAATCATACTGTTTCAGTATGGGAGTCAATCTTCTCCACAGAAGAATAATTACTCTGAAAATGGCTCCGGGATTTTGAGTCGATGGCTTTCATCTCACTACCATGGCGGTGTACATGATGAAAAATCCGTTGCACGCCACACCGTGAACTTGCTGACATCAACGATAAAGGTTGATGCAGACCAGACAGACTTAAGGTTCTGCTTCAGAATTATATCACCAATAAAAATCTACACTTTGCAGGTATTCGTTTCAAAAAGTTCTTGGGAGAGGGTAATGCTGGATTCTTACCAAATTTGACGCCTTAAACATATGGCAGTCGATTCTAAATTTTTTCGGCGATGCAGGCAGAGAATGCACTTGATCAAATGGATTGGATTGAGAAAATCACTGGAGTAATTGCATCACTATTGAGTTTCCAGACATCTGAGAGGGTAATTGTTCAGAATCTGCATTCTTTAAAACATGAAACCTTTGAATCTATTGTTGTTGAAAAGGTTATCGATTGTTTGGCAGCGTCTCTCAACTAGCCCTACAGGAAGCGACGATCAATTATCTGGAAACGAGGGTAGTTCATTAGAAAGCGCTCCTCATGCTGAGCAGACAGCTATTCTGGAACTCTCACCTAAGATCACAGCTTGTAATTATCTCCGAATGTCTAAAAGTTTGCAGCCGCACAAGTTCAAACCGAAAAGTGAGAAACTGATTGACTTACTGAGAAGAGTGTGTGGTAATGAAAAATGTGCTGATTGTGGTGCACCTGAACCAGATTGGGCATCTTTGAACCTTGGGATTCTTATTTGCATCGAATGTTCTGGTGTCCATCGTAATCTCGGTGTACATGTATCAAAGGCAAGTTGTCTAGTTTAAGATTTATTCTGTGAAATGGTTATGGATGTCTCCGTTTGTCAATTAACGCATTGATGCAGGTTCGGTCACTGACACTTGATGTGAAAGTATGGGAACCTTCTGTCTTAACCTTGTTTCAATCACTGGGAAATACTTACATAAACTCGATTTGGGAGGAGATGTTGTATTCAAGAAGTTCTTTGCAGGCTGATAACATGCCTATAGGGTAATTAAGTACTCCGTATATCAATATGATTGGAACTGATATTCTTGTTGTGCTAATAACTCGTTAGTTCGTGCAATGTAGTTTCTCCAGTGCTGATAGAAACGAGCCGTTTCTTATGATAAAGCCATGTTATGACGATCTTATTTCGACAAAGGAGAGGTATATTCATGCAAAGGTATTCTTCTAAATAGTCTGCTCACACCCTTTGTTTCAGCTGTATAATTTCGATAGGATTTGTTGTTCGGAACCTCTGAGATTTCTCTCTACTTGCAGTATGCAGAAAAACTTTTTGTTCGTCATACGAAAAACAATCAGAAGCTCCACGTAACGGGGCAACAGTTGTGCACAAGCGTCCGAGCGAATGACAAGAAAGCAGTTTACCGCTATATTATTGGTTATGAAGCAGATGTTAATGCTAGATCAGTGCAAGCATTAGATGGTATGCTCTTATAATCTGAAAAATGAAACGCAATTGGTTGAACAGAAATTACCTGATACCGAATGGTCGCTTTGCAGATCATTCTGAAGACAAGCCTTCGTCGAGTAACTTAAATTACGTTTCTAGAAGCGAAATTCAGCCCGCAGAAGACAGCGCTGAGGACTGTTCCCTGCTTCACCTAGCCTGCCAAAGTGCCGATATTGGCATGGTAGAGCTACTTTTACAGTATGGTGCGCACGTAAACGCTACTGATTCAAAAGGTCAAACACCGCTGCATTATTGCGTTATCAGAGGGAACATTGCTATTGCAAAGTTGCTTCTTACGAGGTAAGCCTTTGTGCATTTGGGACTCATTGGGTTGCTTCTGTATGAAGCACTTCTGGGGAAAACTGCTTCTTCTACAAGTCTTTTATTAAATGCTCGGCTCGTTTAATTCAATTGCAGGGGAGCTGATCCTCGAGCCACTGACAGAGAAGGTAAAACACCAAGTGAGCTTGTATCAGAATCCGCCTCGAAAGACAATGGGATGTTGGCTCTTTTAACAAACTCCGGCAGATGATGTTCTAAAACCAAATTTTTTCGCGTACTTAACACAAGAACCAATCGAAAATGTGAGACCGTTTTACATCTTCGAAATGTAGGATCAGTTTAGTTTTGTGGGTTGAGGTATATAGAGGCAGTTTGATTTGGTTTGTATCTGTTTATGTACTATTTTGTTCTCTATAATTTGGTTGTGTATAAAAATAGAATGTTAGGAGGTTTTAGCAAAAGTTATTTTGTTGTTGTATGTAGATGATAAGTTATTTAAAGAAATGTCGACTGGAACTGAGCGTTTTAGCTATCTTTCTCGTTGTAAAACCGTTTTATGTATCTTAAATCCAACTCATTACTGCCCACTTTCACTACTTTAGTGCTCCGCACTTGGCTACCCAGCTTGTACCGTGGGCACGATAACTGGTACACCAGAGATGCGTCCTTCCCAATCCTCTCGTACTTGGGAAAGGTCCTCGCAATGCTCTAACGCCCACACTAGATATGAACCGAACTATCTCACGACATTCTGAATACAGCTCATGTACCAATTTAATGGGCAAACAACCCAGACCCTTGGAACATACTACAGCCCTGGGTGGCGAAGAGCCAACATCGAGGTGCCAAACCTTCCCGTTGAGCTCTTGGAGTCCCCAAGGTTCAAAGTTAACCGTTTAAACTAAATTGTCCATATCAAATGTTGGGAAGAAAAATCTTATACAATACTGGTGATGGTTTATAAATCAAATAATCTGAGCAGAAAATGTAACCTATGGTAAACATAAAACATCACATAAACTCTCATTACCGAGAAGAGTTTTAGTAATAAAAAGCATAAAAGCAATTTAGAAGCACTTTGTTGAACTCAATCTGTCCAGAAACACTTCAGACTGCTGTATCATTTGAGAATTTGCATAACGGTAGTTAAAATTTAATACGTAAACAGTTGAGATGCATCATGAGTAAGACGTAAGTTAGTCGTTTATCTAATCTGACTTGAGATACAAGAAAGTAGAATGTTCAAAATAGATCCTCTTTACATTGACTCGAAAATATTTTATTTTGTATCTAATCTGCCTGCATCTGAACGATACAAGGGCGCTTGCTACATAATATCAGCCATCATTAAGAGAACTAAGTTCTAAACACATGAGCACGAAGAAGCAGAAATCTTCCAGCATGAAAATAGCAGCAAACCAAGTTGCTTCTTTCACGAGCAAAATTGCTAGTTACCACATTAGTTTAGGTCTGTTACCTGTACGACCACCTCACGGCATTGTTTCCTGGTCTTGCTTTTATCACCTGTCTTCATATCATCTGGATTAACCCACCACACCAACCTTCGAGTGTACAGACTACTTCATAGCCTGCCACTTTTGTCCCTTTCCCGTCCTCTTTACATATGTCTGTTTCAAACCAAAAAAGAAAGTTCCATAAAGTTCTCAGGAGGTTAAAATTAAACCAATAAACTTTTCCAAGCAATTCTGCAGTTAACTATTAAGGTGCACAGGTAAAAGGTTACCTTTCTAGGCATTGAATCCACCCTTTTGCTTTAAGGAAACACAATCACTGGTTAAGAATGAGAAAGCTCTGCATTGGCAAAAGAGCTTTTCCATACCACAACTTGCAAACTCCACCCTCAGGCCAGCATTTGAATTTGGTTGAGGGAGCAGTGAATAGGAAGAGAACCAGAAATTCTGTCTCGATCAACTAGACTTGTCCCTGATTGCCATCTTTCCTTTCTTTCAACATATTCCGGAGCTAACCTCACTTTGGTCCTCATGAATTAAGTCATCTAAACTGGTGGAATGTGAAACCCATCCAAACCTAAGCATGCTCTCAAAAATCCTTGCTGCTTTTTCCGCATCCCTAATTTGTAAAATCCACGAACTAATGTGCTGCATGTCGCAAGACTGAGCACAAATCCATGTTCTACCATTTCATCAAGTGACTTCATTATCTCAGAAAATTCTTCCCTTCGGAATAGAGTACTTGTCAGTGCATCAACCACTGCACTGTTGGAGATTGCACCATTGACCAAAGTTTCATCCACCAGCTTTAAACATTTTACCAAATCACCTTCTTTGCAATAAGCATCAACCATCATACGATATGTAACTTCATCAGGCTTGAGTCCCCTCGCCACCATCTCATCAAAAAGAGCAAACATCTTATATCTGCTTCCCGTGCTATTGTATCCGTGTAAAAGTGAAGTATATGTTAAAATATTTGGCGTCAGATTCCTTTTCTGCATTTCCAGAAAGAGCTGTTCTGATTCCCTCATCAACCCCTCTTTGCAGAGGGAAACAATCAGAATCGTGTAGGTGACATGATTTGGGGTCACATGCTTATCCACCATATCTTCCAACAACTGGTTAGCTTCCACCATCCTCCCCAATTTGCAGAAGCCATCAATCAATGCATTGAAAGGAGAAGTGGCCGCAATGCCCTTCCCCACTATATCCCGAAATAAGGACACGGCCCTCTCCATGTCACCTGCCTTGCAGCACCCATCAATTAGGATGCAGTAGATGAAACTATCTGTAGGGATCCCACGTAGAAGCATCTCATCTAATAACTGAAATGCCTCGGTTAATTTTCCGGATTTGCTATATCCGTCCATCATTGTAGCATAAGTCACAGCATTAGGAGACAAACCCTTTCTGGAGATTCCATCAAACAGTTCTCTGGCTCTATCAGTATCACCTGACTTACACAATCCATTAATCAAGGCATTATAAGTAACAATGTTTGGATCAACGCCTCTCCGGCACATCTGTTCAAGAAGTTGGAAAGCCTTATCCACATTTCCCTGCTTACAAAAGCCCGATATGAGGGAGCTGTAAGTAAAAACATCTGGAACCAGATCCTTGCCAAGGAGCTCGGAGAAAATCCCCATTGCTTCTTGAATTTTTCCATTCTTTGAGAGACCATGAATAATGACACTATAAGTTTTGATATCTGGGAGCACCCCTCGTCCAAGCATACATCTAAACGTAGAATATGCTTCTGTTAAGTTACTGTCTTTGCAGTGCCCTTCAATCAGGGCTGTATAGATAACATCATTAGGAGCTATACCGCAACCCAACATCTCCTGGAAATACGTATTTGCAAGTTGCATTTGCCCCTCCTTACAGTATCCATGAATAAAAGCCCCATAAGTATACGCATTAGGCTTTAATCCTCTGTCAACCATTTCCACGAAGTAAATCCTGGCTTCATCCATTTTCCTGGCTTTACAGAGGCCAATTATAAGAGAATTGTAGCAAAATGCATCAGGCATGACTCCCTTTTTGGTCATTCCTTTTAATACTTTTATTGCCTCTTCAAATTTTCCTTCCTGGACGTAACCTCTAATTACAGTTGTGTAGATAACGGCACCTGGTTTCAAACCTCTGGTAATCATTTCCTTCAGAAGTTGATTAGCCCCTTCCATATCTCCACGCCGGCTTAGCCCATTGATTATCGCTCCATAAGTGAACACACCGGGTGCAAAGTTCCTCTTCTTCATCTCATTAAGTAACTCACAAGCCTTGACCATATTTTTCTCTCGACAATACCCGTCAATTAAAAACTTGTATGTCTGGGCATTAGGTCTAGTGCCCATAACATTCATCTCATTCAGGAGAACTTCTGCCTTCTCCATCCTACCAACTTTACACATCCCAGCAAAAATTGCATTACATGTGGCATCGCACAACTTAAAGCCTCGAGCAATTGTCTCATCTTTGATCCTCAGAGCCTCTTCCAAGTAACCTTCTTTCATCAACCCATCAATCAAAGCAGTGTAGCAGGTGCTGTCAGGACTCAAACCTTTATCATACATGTATTTCAAAATCAATTTTGTTTCTTCTGGTCTCTTCTGTCTGCACAACCCGTCAACAAGTGCCGAATAAGTATACCTATCCGGGACCAATCCCTTCTCCACCATAGACTTCTTTACCGCTAAGGCCTCATCGACATCCCCAGCCCTACACAAACCACCAATCACCACATTATAGGTACTTAAATCTGGATTACCACCCTTCTCCTCCATCTCTAACAGAAACCTCTTTCCCTGCCCGGCATTCCCTGCCCTACAATGCGCATGGATCACATTGTAATAAGTGTAAAAATCAGGTTTCATTTTCGCCTCTAACATCCCATCATACACCTTCCAAAACAACTCCATTCTATTATACTTCAACAAATCATTCAACAGAGAATTGCAGCAGTCCAATCTTGGTAAAATCCCAACTTTCCTAAGTCCCAGAAAAACATCAGCAGCCTCATTCAACCGCTCCGCCGCCTTAAAAGCTCTAATCAGATACTCAAAAACAATCTCATCAGACCCACCACACTCACCATCTCTAAAACAACTAACAACACAATCCAAAACTTCGAAAACTGGTTTTCGGGTCTTAACCATTCTATCTAACACAGCATTAGCCTGCTCAAACATCTTGGAATTGCACAGAACAACAGCAAGAATCGAAAAGGAATGCAAATTTTGGGGAAAACCCAGGTGGGTATCGGTCCATAGGAAGAAACTAAGGAGGCGTTTTGGGTCACCAACCTGGTGGTTCTGCTGTAGAACGGCTCGGACCACATGTGGGTTCAGCTTCCTGGGGAGGTCCGTTGAGTTGAGAACGAAGTGCCAGTCGCTGTGGTTTCTGAGGACGGTGGAGATTTCTCTCACTGTTTCGTCATCGTCCTGTTTGAACGTCTCTGATTGCTGCGAGGTGGTAGTGCAGTATTCGATGTGAATCAAAAGTCTTGCTTTTGCAATACCAATTCGATTGCTCAGATGAAATGCAAAGAGATGTCCATGACAAAATAACCCCATTTTTTTCCTGATGCCCAAATTGTGAGCTACTCAGCTATGGCAATGGAGGCAAGAGATGAGAGCAACACATAGACATCTGACCAAGAGGGAAAAAGACGAGAGGGAGAGAGAGAGAGAGAGATTGGCCTGGACTATTTTGTAAAGTTTTAAACTTTGAAGCCCAATTCATAAAAACCCAATGAACCCAAATGGCCAAGTACTTTTCAGGTCCAAATTCTCATCTGCGTTGGCTGCTGCTGGGTTTCCTTCTTCTTCCTTCTCCCCCAAAGCTTCTTGAACTCGTAACCTCCATTACTGCCCTGCAAACAACGAACCCTCCTTGAATTCTGTAGAAAAAGCCATGGATGCTCTGTAATTTTCCTATCTAATCAGCATCAGGTATAATCTCTTTTTTCCAAATTGTTTGATGGGTTATGCAATTTCGAATCGTATACTTAATGGGCAATTTTCTTTTATTTATTTTTCAATGGTGAGAAATGTGAAATTTGCTTTGAAGCTTTGTTCTTTGAACTGTTGCTGCACAGGAAAGTGATACGAGCCAGCAGGTATGAATTGGGTGAGGCAGAGAGTTCTGGTTTCAATTGGGAGGCAGAGGCAGCTGCATACTTTCGATGCGCCGAGCGAAAGCTTGAAGACGAAATTTGCTGAGTTGGGGAAAATGAGGAGGAGAAGAAGCTCAAAGAAAGATAAGCAATCGGTTTTCGTCGAGGTTCCAGAGTCGATGACCTACCTCGACACAGCCACCATGCCCCAGATTCTCACCGCCGTTGGCATTGCCCTCTTCGCCAAGCTCCTCATGATGGTAAGTAAAATTGAATATATTTTTCTGTCATTGTTTCCACAACCCCATTTGTTTATTTGCTTTCTGTTTCCTAAATGTTGTTGCTGTATCGTAATCTCCGACTAGAATTTGCATCTTGTTGAAAATTTTGGAAATTCATGATTATCAGAGCTGTGTTTCACTGTTTTGCACACTCTTCTGCCTATTGATCCTGCTTGTGTATTGCTAGAAAAATTTCCTTGCGCTTTATAATTTGTTGGGGTTTTTGGAAGTTCAACATTGTTGTCTTCTTGAAGTAAGTTTTTTGTGTTTAATTTTCGAGAGGAAGATGAAATAAGTAAATGGATTAGACATTGTTGGAAGTATAGAGCTTTTATGTAAAGGTTTTATTTTTTGTCTTCCTGGCAATAAACGGAATAGCTTACCTCGTTTGATTAGAGAACATTTTGAATTTCGTTGGTTAATTATATTTAGTGATTAATGTAACTGGTCTTTCATGCTGGTAGTACGACGACTCAAGGTCACAAGAATTGATTGAACGCAAAATAAAGAATGCTCCTGCTGGGCAAGGCACTGTTAGGATGCTCTCCCGAGAGGAATGGGAAGAAATTCGCGAAGTAAGACCAAGGACTCCGTTTGAATCCAAGCTTGCTCGTCCAAATGCACACTTAAGAACTGGAGAACCATTACGCATGGTGAGGCACAAATTACTTTTTACTCTTAAACGGTGCTACATATCAGTCATTCTGATCATTGCATAATAGGGTAGGATCAGTCTTGCTTTCCTACACTAAATTGCAGTTTTATTTTGGTAATATGCAACTAAAAATGGTATAGCATCTCAAGTTGTAAAACTAATGGCACCGGCTGAACACAAAATTTTCCCCCAACCTGCCATTTACAGAATTTGAGTCATAGTTTTAGCAGGTCTACTTATGTACACGAATGTTAGGTTACTGCTGGTTTTTCTAATGCACATTAATGTTAGGTTGCTGTTGGTTTTTCTAATGCACGTGAATGTTAATGCTGGTTTTTCTAATGCACATTAATGTTACGTTACCCATGGTTTTTCTAATTTACATGAATGTTAGGTTACTGCTCGTTTTTCTAATGTACATGAATGTTAGGTTACCGCTCGTTTTTCTAACATACGTGAATGCTTAAGCAACCATGTCTTTGATTTTTATTTTTTGCCTTTCTATTGGCCATTTAGCACTCGGATAATTACATGCATAGGTTTGCACTGGTGACTAATTTGCTGAATGTTTAGGTTACTGCTGATAAAAAATAGCATGCTGACCTTTTCGCGAGTTCTGAACTATATCTTTGCCTCTTGATCTAAGGAGTTTAAGTTGTATCATGTTTCTCACCCTTAATAGCTTCCAACCAGCATAAAATTTTCTGTTGCGACCTTGCTATGCTTAACTGCTTTAGAAAGTATTCTGCACGCGCAATCTCTGTGATATTTTACTTCGGTGCTTTTTGTTTCATAATTTGGTTCATTGCCCACAGGGGAAGGGTCTTACACTGCGGTAGACTGTAGAAAATCATAGATCGTAAACGTTTTCATTCTAATGGAATTCTCTTAAAGAACATTAGTCAGAAATTTGTATTCCACTTTCTCGAATGAAAAAAGCTTCCGTGTTTTGTGCATATGCTTGTGCTTCTCTTATGTTTTGCTCTTGAGCAGTTAAAGAATGTTTGTTCACATGTTTTTCGCAGGAGGATTTAAAGGATTGGACGATTGATGTGCTCACAGATGCATTTGCTCGGGTTGAAGAAAGTGTTAGACACACTTCCAAGTGACTTTTCCCGTCTTTTGAGCATGTCACATGTGAATATCAGGTTTTTTCAACATTTTGATTCTCTATACGATATCAATCATACACAAAGATTAGCATCTCTGAGGAGCTTCTGAAAGAACATCGTGCAATCTTGTGGATTTGGTTTCTGGTATAATTTTGTCCTGCTTTAATGTAGAAAATATACTTCCAAAAGCCATCACAAAGCAATGGTGGCAAAGGCATATGGTAAAGCATGCGCTCAGCTTGCACACTCCCATGTGATGGTAGGCAGAGCTTGCAGAGCCAAATGTGTACGATTTTGTTCAATTTGTTGGACCTATTTGCTGAATTATGTTTGCTTTCCAAAGGCAAACTTTGATATCTTGGGCTGCAACTGATAAAGTATTATCTTATTCTCCAATCTCCATATTCATGGTAAAAACTAAAACCTCCCGCCTTACAGTGGTAGTATTTCAAGTCAATCAGGTGGTGTCATGGATTTTAACTTTCTAATATGGCAGTGCGTCATTGATTTGAGATGCCAGCAAACACAACGACACTCTCATTGTACGCAAGTTCTTTGATCGCGAGGGTTTCTAGATCAAATAGAGAAGAGCAGTGATCTCTGCACACAAATCTAATATATTCCCCCCTGCCCCCTCCTCCGCCTCCACCAACACCAATAAGTTTATTCACCGTGACAATTTACCACTTGCTCAGTGATTCGCAATTATGCCAATTGAGTGATCAAGAATCGGAGACAAGAATGTCAGTGTGCAACATCTTTTTCACTGAGTTGTGTGTTTGCCACTAGCCTTCCAAATTGAATTCAATTTTTGCCCTTTCAAAAACTCAAAAGATCTGTACAAACCAAACTGCAATTCCAACTCGTTCAGGGAAAAGAGATTTTATTCAATTTTTCAGATTTACGTGCACTTTTTGTCGTAAGCACTTTCTCCTCAAAAGCCCTTCATTCGGTCTTTCTTCGATCAGCGTTTAAAATATTAATGAAATTGTCGATATTTTCGTTGAAGTATCTAAGAAATCAAGGATTGATATAGAAATAAGAGGTGAAATGCAAATTTCACCGTATATTAACGAAATGTAAGAAAATCAATAAATATCGATGATAAACTGCATTTAAAATCCCTCTACTTTACTGAATTCGAGTGTAAAGACGGATTAAACTGCTTTAGCAACAAGCACGACTACGGTTAAAAACTGGCTATCAACTTATATCACTATTACTTTATAAAATTAATATCATTATTATTAGAAGCCGAGGTGATATGGTAGGCGCACGAAAGCATGCAAATTAACTTGATTAGGGTTTTTGTATTTAGGGTAAATTAAGGATATATGGCTGTATGCTCCCCCTGCAGAAAGTAGAAAGTAGAAAGGGTCAGGCATGCACGTTTATCACTTCAAATATGAACAAACAAAAAGCCTGCAAATTTTTATGCTTTCTTTGACCAGGCCCTGCCCTGTCCTGGCCCTCACTCCATTTCATTAACTACGAAGAAGAACAGGGAAGTGTTATAGGCACTTCAAAAATTTTATTCTACACTTTTCACAAGTGTATTTTTTTTCTTCTAAATATAGAAAGTTTGGAGTATATAATGAGATTTTTGAAATGCTAATAACGATTCTCAAAAAATAATCCATGATAATTTGATTTCTTCAAACTTGCCTTCACATTTATTTATTTATTTATTTGCATTATACAAGGAAACAACTATATAGAATTAGAATGATCTGAAAAGAAGCTATAAAAACAGATTAAAAAGTCTAATAGATTATAGGAAATTTTATCGAAAAACTTCCGCTACATGCAAGCAAGAAATATGAGAATATTGATGCTTAATTAACAACTAATTACGCCAAAAACGTGCCACTTCGAGGATTATTGGGCCTCCTGCACCTTGTTTTTTATATTAATTAAATTATAATTAATCTAATAATCTCACGTTGACAGTTCAAATCTCTATCTGCATATTATTTTATGAGCAAAAATTAATAAACAAATTTTTCATGCACGAAAGACAGCAATTTATGAACAAACCGCCCTCCTTAAACATTGAAATTTGTGAAGGATTGGAACTTGTATGATTAAAAAAAAAAAAACCAAATTACGCATCTGATGGATATTTTAAATAATTATTTGCTTCAAATTTAGTACTCAACAATGATGGTATCTTACCAGCACATCTTGTAGCTGTCGAGCTCTAATTTATGGTTCTTATTGTTAATGCGTATTTAATTAGTTGGAGTCTTTGAGTGACTGGTGATTATATATAATTAATCACAGACCATTCATAAAATAATGGGATTTAAAGGTAAATGATAACAAAAATATGCCTACAAACCCATCAAACCCTAGTTTCTTCCTTCGTTGGAGGAGGTAGAATGTATAGGATGCCTCCCTAGCTGCCTGCTTTAACGGCCGGTGATTTTTATATATTGGCTTTTGTCAAAGGTTTTCCTTTTTGTTTCTTTTATTTATAAATCGGCTTTTTAGCTGAAATAGTTCATGAGAATGGTATAATTATTTTCATGATGTTGTAAATCGATAGAAGTGGTTCTGAATTTATACACCGTAAATCATCTCGTGAAAAATCTTCATTAAATGGAAGAGCAAGGGGAGGGATTCATCGGACAAAATGCCATCAATTTCACAGAGATTTTTTTATTGAATAACCAAAATGATTAACAGTGAAGAAACTCATAAACAACTTCTATCAATTTTCAATATTAATAATCAAAATAAAGAATTATGACAATTCCAAAAACCATTTTAACCAAAAAAACGTTTATAAATCTTCAAAATTCCCCACATGTTAAATTTCCCGCTTTATGTTCAGAGTCTTCAGACAAGCAGAGGGGCAGTTCTTGAATGACATGATCACATTTGCAATATTTCGGCCATTGACTTAGACCCTCCAAGTTAGAGAATGGTGTCTTGGGGCGACCAAGACAAAAACGCCACGATTACTTCTGTAACATAATATCAAAGGTTGAATATGAACAGTATTAGTGTTGTACATGATTGAGTTGTGCGCACTAGCAGTAGTGAGTGCGAGTGTATTATACATTGTGAACTCATTATTTATATTGACAGCTGACAGTCACTCATGAGTGCATCACACAAATTGAAAAATAAAAAGAGCTAATGGCTTCGTATCTATTTGATCATTAGTGAAGCTTACACACGGTTTAATAGGACTTACTACTAATGTCAAGTCTCAAAAAAACAAAATTATGAGTCCATCGTTGTATTTAAATGGTGGTGCATATAAAATCCTTTTATTAGAAGCACTTAAGTATTTCTTTAAACTTTAAGGGTGTGTTTGTTTGAGCTCGCTAGCTTTCGTTGGCTTGGACTAGACTATGTAGTAGTCTAGTCTCGTGTTTTTTAACAGTCCAGGACTAAGTTTAATGAGATTAGAAGGGACTCGCAAGGACTAACTCCCTCGCTAGCAAACCCATCGAGAACCATGGGATTAGCGGGGACTAACTCCCTCGCGTCTTCCTTTGCTCCTATGTTTTCACAAACGCCGAGAGCCACCATCATTCCCCCTCGTCAATTCCCCCTTCCCCTCCTCCTTTCTCCTCGCTTTCTTCTCTTTTTGCTTTGCCAAGATTCGAGCTCGGTTCGAACTTGGCCGCGACGGCGACAGTTGCTCCATCCTGCTGGTACTGTAGTTATACTGTTGCGGCGGCGACTCAATAGCAGTCGGCTTCTCCTGCGCAAAAGATATTCTAAGCATGCTCGGGAACTGCTGGTCAAAAAGCCTCTTGAGCCGTGATTTGAAGATGGGTTGGCCAAGTCGACATGGCTTGGCTCGATCAAATTCTCGGAATCAATATTAATTGGTTGGATCTCATCGAAAATGGCATGGGTTTTACAAACTACAAATTACTTCAAAAAAACTGGAGGTGAAATTTGAATCAATTTGGTATGTGCAGAGGTTGTGGGTGATTTTTTTTGTAGAGAGGGAGAGGGTAAGGGTAATACGGCAAAGTTTTGTAGGATACTAGCAAATTACAAAGTCTATAAAATATTGGAACAAAAATATTTTAGTTCGAGATTTAGTCCAGCACTGCATCAAACACTTCACTATTTTTATCATGCTTAGTCTAAGCCAATCAAATCCAGCTAGTCCAATCCGAAACAATCTGGTGCAACAAACGCACCCTAAGTATTTTCTACGTATTTGAAAGCACTTATGACATTTACTAAATTTAGAAAAAACCCTAATTAAAAGTAAAAATTACTAAGTTTGGTTGGATATTAGAAAGCACTTTTGACATTTGCTAAATACACTTGCAACACATGGCCAAAAATAATTAAATACCACAGAACAAGGAAGGGAATGCATGTAGGGTCCATGGCTTAGAATTTTCTCAAATCCACGTGACACGGTCCTTTCCCCACTAGGCCACCCACCAAGAAGAGAGAGGATATGAACGAGGTTTCATTTAATTTTTAATTATTTGTTGTTAATGTTTATCTCCTTCTAATCACACCTTAAAATTTTGATTAATTAACTAAAGATTAGGTACCATTCTTTTCCAAACACATCGAGGCCATCACTATCACAAGTCACAGTGGTCGTCTTTCTTTCTTTCCATTTGTTTGTTCTCGTCACACCAGGAAGGATTGAATGGTTTTTATTTGGACTAATCTCCATTATTCACATTATATATCATTACTCTCAACTTACTTATATTAATTTTCAAATTCGTCTTTAACTAGAATCGAATCTAAAATATTTCATTTACAAATGAAAAGTAACATCAATAAACTATAATATTAAATAACATATTATTCTCGTAGCGTTCCATCCCCACCTATCTAGAGTCACGCAAACCCCGTGCGGGGATTAGGACGTAACCAAATTTTCAGAAACCGTAAAAAACGCTTGCGCATGCTGGCATTTACCTGAGAGACCCACGTGTCTCCTAACTGACTTCACATCCACGTGGCAACACCTGATACGTCCATTAAAAGCAGTCAGTTCCCCCCCTCCATAAAGATCCTTAACTGGATTGAATACTCATTTGAATTCCGCAAACCGTAATTTAATTCCGTCTGAGGTCCGTAACCGCCATTGGGGCTGTGATAAAGGTGGTTGAGATTTCCCGGTAACTTTAGCGAAAAAAAGAAAAAAAAAAGGTTAGGGGTAAATTTGGGATGTGAGAGAAAGACATGACGAGGTCTGGTCTGTGGGTTAGGGGTCAGGAGGGAGGAGGATTAGGGGAGTGCCCAAACTGCTAAGGGATAGGAGGCAGAGAAAGGACGGGCCCACAGCTTGGATTAGTTGTAAGCTAATAAGGAGACACCTTGTGGTTGTGGGGACGGGACCCACCGTCATTTACTTTACTGTGAGAAAAAGGGAAGCCGGATTTCCTACAGCTTCA